GATTGTAGAGAAGAAGGTGGGATCAAAACTACAGAAATGAGTGAAATCGTGTGCTAACAAGAACTCTGAGCACAGAGCATGTGAAGTGAATAAGTCTGAAAATGTCTGGAGTGTACATGAACCCATTTAGATAGATCAGAAATCAATCCTTCTTAAAGTTATTGCATGACAGAGGCTAATATTTAAGGAACTGTTCACTGAAAAAAAGTGTTAACCGCATGTTTAATCTTTGTTTAAAGTACCCTTTAGTATTTTCCTCTGTCAAGTGTCTTATTGAGGGTTTCTATTGCTGTTATAAAACACCATGACCAAAAGCAACTTGGGGAGGAATAGGTCTATTTCATCCTATGACTCTCATGTTGTACGCCATTGTAGAGAAATTTTAATCCAGTAACATGGATGCTCTCACAAGGGATCACATCCAAAGACCTTCTAGGTCTATATGATCTGGCTGGAATGCAAACCTTTAACCTTTAACAGTGAAGGTAAGGTTAGTTTGTAGAAGGAAGCAGCCATGTTCCAAAGTGACATCTGATTGAGGGACAGACAAAGTGACAAATCAGAGGAAGATTTGACAAATGAGTCAGAGATACAATATGCCCAACTCATACGAGAGAACAGCACAGGAAAGAGAGGCTACTTAAGATCAGAAGTGGGTAGTAGGAGGAGTGTATGGCAGTTTTACCAGGACAGTTTTACAAAGACAGAGGCAGGTAGAACAAGCTAAACACGGATGAAGACAGAATGAGCCAGAGAATGAGGAGCCAGAAGATTAGAATATATTGCCAAAGTTAGTATAAGGCCAAGCAGAACAATTTGGAGATAAGCAGAGAGAAGCCAGATTGAATCAATCAGAATGGAAGATTCTGCACAGAGGCTACAAGCTTCCAGGCCTAGGTCTAGGTAGGTATGGTTAGCACAGAGAAGGAAACACTCTGGGCTCAGCCCAAGCTGTGTAATCAAACATCGTGGGTACAGCTCTCATCTCATCCCTCTATCTGAAGAAAATCTGGGCAGAAACTAAAAGTCAGAACCTGGAGGTAGGAATTCAATTAGAAGCCATGGAGGATCTGACTATTTTTCCATGCCATGCTTAATCTATTTTGTTATACAAGTCAAGACTTGCATACACAGGGGTGGCCCTACTGCAGAAGGCTATGCTCCTGTACATGAATCATTAAGCAAGAAACTTCCCTTAGACTTGCCTACAGGCAATCTGATGAAAATAGTTTCTTAACTGAGGTTTCTCTTCCCAGATAACACTAGCTTATGTCAAGTTAGCAAACAAACAAACAAACAAACAAAGCAAATCAGGATAATTGATATCCTGTCAACCTGACATATAAATACATTACTATTAAACCATAGTCCTTCCCTTTTTTGTTTATCCCCACGATCTCATGTTAATATCAATATCACAATATAAAACATAAATAACTTCCAAAGTTCCACAGCTTCATACCTTTCAACACTTTAAAAAGTCAAAGTTCCCTTTAAAAACACAGTGTCTCTTTAAAAGTTCAAAGTCTTTCAACTGTGGGCTCCTATAAAATCAAAACTAGTTAAATATTTTCTTACTCCAAGAGCAAAACATCAGGGTACAGTTACATTCAAATCAACACAAAACCGAGTCCAACAGTACAGAGCTCAGTGACAGATGTGTGGGAATCATGATCTCTGGGCTCTCAGGGAGTGAGCAACCTCAGCTCCAGCTCTTCTTCCACAGCACACAGTACATTTCACATGCTCAGACTGGCTGCATTCCCCACCTGCTGTTGACCTTGATGACCATATCTATGGTACTGTCTCCAAAATGCTTGAATTCCTGCTGGAACTGGGCTGCAACTTTATCTATGCCCTCTTGACTTCTAACAGGGCTAAGTCTTAGCTGTTCCCCACAACTCCTTCATACCTTCTAAACCAGTACTAGCCAGAAGACTCTTATATATCACCAAACCCAGCTGCCAGTACAAGGTATTTGGCCCCGGCTAGACACAGCTTCTATGTGATGACACTGGTATAACACTTCCCTGGTGTTGCTTCAATTACGCTGGTCAATTCTTAACCATAGAGGATCCTTCAGCACCAGCTGGCCAGTATTGATTATACCAGCAAAGCAAGTTTCACTTTAAAGGTTTTGGTCTCTTGTTAAACATAGCCTATTCTTCGGTTTCAAATTCTTTTGTTATTTTATGTGAATGAGTGCTTGTGGATGCATGTGCACATGTGCCTGCCTGTCTGATGCCCTAGAAAGTCAGAAGAGGGTATCAGATCCCCTGGGACTGGAATTCTATATTGTGGTAAGCTGTCCTGTGGGTACTGGGGATCAAACTTAGGTCCCCTTCAATAGCAACAAGTGCTCTTAACCACTGAGCCAATTCTTTAGCACTTAGTTCTTAATGAAATATATGGAATGGCCCTGCCAGAGTCTTAAAGAGATGTTCAAACCTCCCTCTGAAAAATGACAAGCCAGACTTACACCTGCTCTGATCTCAGTGTTATCTTCTTCTAAGTTTCCACAATAGCCCATGTCTGAACACTCAATAGCTTTTCCAGTCCAAAGTTCCAAAGTCCTTCCACGATCATTCCCCAAACAGTCAAGTCTGTCACAACAATATCCCATGAGCCTTTCATCAGGGTTTCTATTACTATGATAAAAAAAAATAACCAAAAGCAACTTGGGAAGGAAAGGGTTTATTTGGCTTATATATCCTGGGTCACAGTCCATTGAGGGAAGCCACACAGGAACCTGGAGGCAGGAACTGAATCAAAAGCCATGAAGGAATGTTATGTATTGTCTTGCTTCCTGTGATTTGTTCAGCCTGTTTTCTTATACAACTCAGCCCTGGGTTGGCACTGCCCCACCCCCACCCCCATAGGCTGGACCCTTCAACATGGATTCATCGATCAAGAAAACATCCTACAGAGTTGCCTACAGGAAATCCGGTGGAAGTATTTTCTCAGTTCAAGTTTCTCTTTCCAAATAGCTTTAGCTTGTGTCATGTTGACAAAAATCCAACCAAGACATGTTGGACAGTTTGGTTTCTAAACTGACAGCTTTCATCAGGCTAGTGTAGCAGCTGCCTGAGAGAGAAACTGAGAGTAGTGGTTTGGATGAGACATCCTAATAGGCACAGATGTTTGAATACTTGGTCCTCAGTTGGTGACAGTTTGGGTAGACTTGGTGGCTTGTTGGTGGAAGTATGTCACTGGGGTGTGGGTGGGCTTTGGGGTTTTAAAACCATTCCCATTTCTCACTCTGCTTCCTGCTTGTGGAGATGAGAACTCTCAGCTGCTCCAGTTGCCACACTTCCTCACTGGGATGGTGACTGACTCTGTAGTCATCATGGTATAACAAAGCAACAGAAAAATAACTAAAATACTGAGAAACTACCCCAAGACAGGCAGAGATGAAGGCTGAATTGGGGGCCATTGTATGGTTTCCACCGTTCCCAAACTTCCTAAGACTGAATGCTATTGCAGCCACTCCTGAAGAACTGAAGAACTATTAGGGTGGTGGCAATTGCAAGTTTAGTCTCACCTTTTCTGGAGACTTGAAAATCAAGCAGGAACTATAAGTCAAGAAGTGGCTCCTGGAGGTTCCTCAACCTGTCATCAAGGCAACCACAGCTATTACTGCTCTATTCTAGCTACCAGTGTCCAGAGAAGACTTCATGTCAGCTGTAGATGCCACAAAGAGACGTTGTTTTAGCCAGAGGAACCACTATAACCAACCACCATCTGGCTGTAGCATTGCCTTGGTAAACTCCGACCATGACACCTTGAGATGGCTCTTAGAACACCCTACTCAGTGACCCCAATCCAATGGAAGTATCCAGGAGAAGGTTTTTTTTTTTTTTTTTTTTTTTTTTTTTTTTTTTTTTACTGCAAGCTGCTCATGTGCTGCCAATATAATAAGTGTGTTTTTTTTTCTGCCTTCTTGTAGTCTTTATCATGGGTAGGGTAGTCTAAGTCGATTGCATAAAGAATAGGTACAGCACCCAGCAGAAGACAGAGGGTTGTTGTAGAGGCCATGGAGAGCTGAGACTGTTGAAGGGCTGCAGAAGTGTTGGGAGAGTATGGGATAGAAGAGAACAGAAACTGCAAAAGATAACACACTACAGAATGCTGAGACTGGAAAACCTGCAAGTGCCGGCTGCTCCAAGAGTCCCAGAAAGTCACTACCCAGAAAGTTGCTACCTCTGGCTGCTGAGGAAACATCCTGGAGCTGTAAAGCTAAAGGCTGAGAGCCCACATACCATACGGCTAACACAAGCTGGATGTGTTGGTCCAATAGCTATTAGGGATAAAGCTGTAACTTTGAGATCTAAGTGTTTCCAGCACCCCAAGTTGGGGGCTACTGACACAATGGAAGCTTTTGCCTATTGGAGATTTTGATCCAAAATACCAGACAGCCTGAATGTAAACCACAAGGATGGCCACTCCACTCAATATAAAGTGACCAGTATTTTGCCTGTGACAACTTTGTAGGTAGACTCTCAGCTCTTGATGCTCCCTGTCTAAGCTGTGCCGCCTTTCAGTACTGGTATTCCTAAGGAGATTCAAGACCAAACCAGCATCCTCGGAGCATCCCATAGTTGGTGTGGATGCAAGCTGTGGTCTATAGGTTTCCAGTCAGTATCCGCGGCGGCCTGTTTGCATGCACTACCAGAGCTGGACAGCTAGTGTTAGTGCCGGCTGCTACTCAGCCTGAAGACTCAACCTATGGGACAGACCCACTTTTCCGCAGTCGTGTTACCCAGGGGTGGGCGGGCCTCTTAGGACAGTCCCCGGTTGCTGGGCAACGGGTTGACGCTTCCCTCTCCCTCCCCCTCCCCCACCTCCGTGCCTGAGCACCACCCACTTCGCCTCCGGCTCTAGCGCTTGCGTACTACGTCCCTTTCGTCCCTTCGTCCTTTACTTCCAGTTATGTAAGCACAAGCTTCACTTTGTCTAACCAGGCACTTCTACGGGCGGAAGTGCAATAACGGAAGCGGAAGTGAGCATGCTGGAGCCTGCAGATCTGAAATCTGGTTGACGCGTCTGCAGCCACTGCTGAGCTTTGGGTAGGCCAGGTTCGAGGATCGGCCCTGGATCTCTGCTGTCGCGCTTCCCTACCCCGGGCTCCTTCCAGCACCAAGTCCGCTATCCCTGCCGTGGCCACGCCCCTCTGTGCCCTACGTCCTGGCTTCTCTGCATCCTGGCTGCTCTGCGTCTGTCTGTTCCCCCCGGTGGAGGGGAGAGGCAGCCATCCTTCAGGTGGAGCGAAGTGGAGACTCTTCCTGAGCCCAGCTGCAGGACACTGAACACCAACGAGGTAGATCTCAGGCTCTGGTAGCGGCTGGGGAGGGAAGAACTGGTACCTGGGAACCTGTAGTAGCGAGGATGTGGGACCTGAAGTGATGGAGAGGTGAAGGGGCTGGGCCTCAGCTGTGTTGAGTTCCTCTGGGGAGGGGACCATCCTTTTGGTTTAGGCTTTTCTGCATATGCCCTCAGACCTTTCCATTCTGAGGGATTTGCTATCACCCACAACCACTGTCTTCAGGCAGTCTCTCAATATTTTCCCCATCTCCCATTCATTAGAGGATATTGACTGACGTTAGGGTAGTGTACGAGCGCTGGTTACTTTTCCCTTACCTGTTTTTAAAGGCACCAGCAACAGATGGGTTATTTCTCTTGCCATCCACCTTGACTATAGCACCTCCCAGTTGTTTTTTTTTTTTAATCTGTCCGGCCAGTATTCCAGACATTTATATCTGTGAACACCTTTAGCGCTCCCCCCAAAAAAAAACTTAAGTGGATAGCATTTGAAGTCATTTGTTTTCCACATTCGGAGACTCGACTCTATCTCAAAATTGGAGCCAGGATATATTTATAGAGTTGATAATGAAAAGTTCATGAATTAAAAGCTTTGGAGTCTCTGGTACTGGGAATGCAACACCCCTCTGTTCATAATTGGCATTCTTTAAAAAAAAAAAAAAAGAAGTATCCTCAGCTGCATATTTTAGGCCCTTTACAACTTGCTATTTGCCTTATCTTGCTGATTTACAAGTGTTCTTGTCCTAACGTTTCCCTCCCTATTGCCACCATCTTCAAGGTGTGCTTGGTATTTGAAGGAAAGGGCCGGTCATTGGATAAAACACTGCAACTTCTGTGTTGCAGATACTAAGTTAATTTCATTTAGTTTCTGAGTTGACTCCACCTTGGTAAGAAGGATATATTCTACATAATGCTATCAATTGTTGCTACAGAACTTAATACCAAGTATAAATAGTTTTAATGTCGTTGTTAGGCATTATTTCTCTCCATTGCTCCCTCTGGCTATAATGGGAGTCTGTAAACTGTGAGTGGGTTCTTGATCTTCCTTAAAACATCTATTTGCCCCTGGTTTTATTCATCTATTTTTCCAAATAGGCATTGGTCCTAGCATATGGGAGACATTTCGGGGTGGAAAGGCCAATCCTCTTGTTAGGGATTCTCAGAACTTCTCAGGCTATATTTTGAGCAGTAGGACTTTTATCTAGTAGGTGTAAGGGTGAGCTGTTTGGAGAGTATCCTTGCCTCAGTGTCTATTTACTGCTTACAAGCCTATTAAGAGTTAGCCTATTATCTAACTGTAAAATTTTCCTAATTTTTGTATGTTGTTTTTTTTTTCCAGTCATCCTGTAATAACTCCTTTAGGGAACAAAGAATTTCCTTACATACTTTTAGCAATAAAGCAGAACAATAATAACTTAAACAATATCCATAGCTTTCTGTCTTTTGGGAATATATATATATATATATATATATATACACACATATATATATGTATGTATATATATGATGTACTAATTGTATGCTGTATGATAGACACTTCCTCAGGAACTGTAAACAAAAGACTGTTCATCTCAGGTAGACCACTGACAACAGACCAGAAAAAAAAAATAGATTCCATCTAAGTCTAGCTTAGCAAACCAGTATGTTTATTGAAGTTCTTTACAGGAATATGGGTGACTGAAAGCCACTCTAGCATGGGTAAGAACTCAAGGAAACTGCATCCATGAAGCTCTCTTCACAACTCTTAGGCACCTGGGCTATTTGTAGAGTCTCCTCTCCCGATCAGTTACTGCTTTTATAATTTTGGAGCAGGTCTCTATGAATGTTCTAAGTTTGGGGAACCTCCTGCACCTCACGTGATTCCCTTTTCCTTCCAGGAAGGAATTGGGTGTTGTGAATATCTAGCAATTGAAGACTCTTTCAATATCAGATATGTTCTAATGTCACAGATCCCCACAACTTTTTTTTTAAATGTGTGTGTACATGCTCCTTTTCTGAGGTAGTTTGTGATTCACAGTGTGAGAAATTAACAGGGTAAAAGCTAGGAAGAACTGGTTCCTGCTCTTGTCAAAATAGCAGGCTTTCCGTTATGGGGGAAGGTAGGAGCAGAAACATTTGAATAAAACCAAAGCAATATACTGAGCCTGACTTCCTGGAAAATAAGAATATATCAAGAAGCCCATTGTCTTAGCAGCTTTAGTAGAAACTTGAAACATAAACAACAACAGCTCCCATCTTACTGGCAGCGGAGGGCAGTGGCTCACACATGGAAGACACTGCTGCTCATGTGGTACGGCCAGGCCAGAGGAGGAGTAAAAGGTCTGTGCTGCTCCTCGCAGTCTGTCCACATGTGTCGTTTTCTGTGTTGGGAGTGATAGGGAAGGCTTCTGTAATCGATGGTCTGGGCCAGGCGGCTGTTACTGCTGTCTTATCAGGATGAGTCTCTTGGATCGTAGCACACAGTGAAGAGCTGGGAGAGAAGTGTCATTTCCTCACTGAATAGAAATATAGTCTCTGGGTGGGTAAGACTGTCCATCCCCAGTAAACTGCGCAACTCCTGCTTAATCCAGAGCTAGGCACAGACCAGCCGTCTAGAGCCTATGAGAGTGATGTGCTGACATCTGTCTGTTCTGAGTAGCCTTTGTCTTCACACATTCCCTTTCTGAAGTCTGCCTTCTCCATACTGTGTTGTCTAATATCAAGACAAAACCCACCCTGTTCCAGAAATGATTGTAAGTTGTCAGGGGTAGAGATGTAATTCAGTGGCAGAATGTTTGCCTGCATACTCGAGTCCCACACTACACTGTACAGCAAGAGCAGCCTCAGAAAATGTCAACGTCCTGAATGTGGGACCCAGACCCAGGAATCCAACTGATCTATCCCTTGAGTTGAATCACGTCACCAGGCTCAGTACTGTAGTTACCCAAGTATTGTCACTACAATTTGATAATAGATCCTGATATCATAATCTATGTGTCTATCATAGTTAATAATAATATGGGCAACGCTTTTTTAGATTTTAACATAAAATGTGTAATATTTGTGTCCACTTAACTTTTGATGTCTAAACTGCTAATGACAACTTCAAATTCTACCAGTAGGAGCTAGTATCTATTAGTAACCAGTAAATCCTTCAAACAGTAGTCATGTGAGGGTGCCTTTTTTATTAAGCCTAGAATTTTTATAGCTGCTTTGTTGGTATGATGGAACTTAAAGCTCTTACTACACATCAGAAAATTTGTTTCACAGGTTAGTGTGTGTGTGTGTGTGTCCCCTCACTCGCACCTGGCTGATGAGTACACTGTAAAGATGACATAGTCTCTCTGTCCTAGGTCTTCAAGAGGCATTATTTTGTGTTGCTTTTTGTATATTGAGGACTTGTTGTTGTTAATATTTTATCAAAGGACTTAGTGGGTTGATGCCATATTTTTAATAAAACATAGGAAAAATAGACATTAAGATGGAATGTTTCTTTTGGAATTATTTTTACTATTGATGGACATTATCTGCCTAAAGAATGCCTTTTCTTTATATACAAGGACTTAGGTAAGTACATCTTACTGAATAAAGAATTTCGGTGATACCTTCCCACACTCTGAATTCCGACTCTTAAACTGTTTTGTATCTATATTTCAGCTTTCCATAGAGTCACTATCTCAAATGTTGCAACTATTTATTATAGTACATTTTTAATGCAGACTCCTTGTAACACCTTTATCTAGTGTGCTTGACACATTTACCTAGTTTGATAAGTTTTAACATTTGCATCAAATATATCTATCAGAATAGTCTTAGTAGTATCTATAGCTGCTACTTCCAAAGTGTATCCTAGCACATGCTTTCTTCCTGTCTGCCTCCATCAGAGACACCGCTGTTAGACCACAGACCCACCACATGCCTGTGTCACATAGAAAGGAGCTCACCCCTCACAACAAACCGCAAGAAAACCTTAAATAATAATTATACTTTTATTCGGTGCCTTCATGCCTGTGACTCCTGGCAAGTAGGCTAGGTCACATGGTATGGAATTAACACACACACACAGCCACAAAATTGCAATCAGAAACTCCCCTTCTTTCTTGTAATCAGAAAGAATTCTGTCTTCCCTTAAGACCTCATCATGCTATCTATGATTTGGTGCTATAGTTCTCGTAATATTCTGGGACCTGAACAAACTGGTCCTTTGCTTCAGTCACCCCTGTCATGCTCTTCCTGATAATGAACCTCTCGTTTGGACCTGAAGCTCGCTCTCCTAATCCATTGCCCCATCATATATCTGCATATGGCTGCCATCCCAGCTAGAACTTTAATAAAGCTCCCATCTGAAGGGAAATCATGTTAGACTCTTTTCTACAAAGCAGTAACTTTTTATTATTATCATTAATATTATTATTACTATTATTTATGACAATCACTAGACCACTTTTATCACTGCAGATTTGCTATCAGTGAACTAGAACTTTATGTGCTCCAAGTCAGTGTGCTCTTTTCTCCATGGGCTGGGGTGTCTGGCTACTTTTAGTTATCAAAAATAATTAAAGCCAGATGTGATGGAACCCCCTTTTAATCCCACTGCTCACCAGAGAGAGACAGGTGGGTCTCTCTAAGTTCAAGGCTAGCCTGGTCTATAAGCAGAGTTACATGGTGAGACTCTGTCAAACAAACAAACAAAAAAAGTTAGTATTTTGAAGGTTACTGTTTCAATTTATATTTTTATGTTTTAAAAATAACTTCTACCTCAGTCCTAGGTGGAAGATAATTACTCATTTAAAAACTAACTCAGGCTGATGAGATGGCTTAGTGGGTGAAAATGGCCACTGCCAAGCCCAATGGCTTGACTTCAATTCCTGGGACCCACACGGTAGAGGAGAGAACCAGGAACACGAATCATCCTCTGACCTCCACACATGCAGCTTGTGGCATGTGTGCATAACACCTCCCACCCTCTTCCTCTCCCAAAGAAATAAATAAGATAAAAAACTTTACCTCTTTGTATTTAACTGAGGAATGCCCTGACTAGTAAGTGAAATTTTAAAAGATTACTGTCCTGTATACTGTCTTTGTGAAAGTCTCACTGTAGAAATTGATATATGCTTTATAAAATGTCTCTGTACTTCCACTGAATACACCCCTAGTCAGTATGCCATTTAGCCTGGTGACACACTTTTTTTAGAACACTAAATGTTGTCCGTGTTTGCTTTGACAAGTGTCTAGAAATAATGCCATAGTTACTAATTTTGGATTTATTTTGTTTTATTTTTTCAGATTCACAAAATACAATTATGGGTGTAAGAGGTTTGCAGGGGTTTGTGGGAAGTACCTGCCCACATATATGTACAGTAGTAAATATTCACGAGCTGGCAGAGCATCACCGAAACAAGTACCCTGGACGTACGCCTACCATTGTGGTGGATGCTATGTGCTGTCTCCGATACTGGTACACACCAGAGTCTTGGATCTGCGGCGGCCAGTGGAGAGAATACTATTCTGCTTTGAGAGATTTTGTTACAGCCTTCACATCTGCCGGCATCAAGTTAATATTCTTCTTTGATGGCATGGTGGAGCCGGGTAAGCGGGATGAGTGGGTAAAGCGTAGACTTAAAAACAACAGGGAGATATCCAAGATTTTCCACTATATCAAGTCAAAAAGAGTCCAGCCAGGCAGAAACATGTTCTTCATTCCCTCGGGTCTGGCTATATTTACACGGTTTGCCCTGAAGTCACTGGGCCAGGAGACTTTCTGTTCATTACAGGAGGCAGACTATGAGGTGGCTTCTTACGGCCTCCAAAACAACTGTCTTGGAATCCTTGGGGAAGACACTGACTACTTAATTTACGACACTTGCCCCTACTTTTCAATTAGTGATCTCTGCCTAGAGAGTCTCCGAACCATCATGCTCTGTCGAGAAAAGCTCTGTGAGAGCCTGGGCCTCCATGTGGCAGACCTTCCTCTGCTGGCCTGTCTGCTGGGCAATGACATCACTCCAGAGGGCATGTTTGAAAGCTTTCGGTACAAATGCTTGTCGTCCTATACTTCTGTGAAGGAGAACGCAGGCAGAAAGGGAAATATTATCTTAGCTGTCTCAGACTATATCTCCAAAGTTCTTCATTTGTATCAAGGTGAGAAGAAAATAGAAGAGATGCTACCCTTGGGGCCAAACAAAGCTCTTTTTTATAAAGGAGTAACATCATATCTTTTGCCAGGCCAGAAATCTCCATGGTTAGTTCAAAAACCCAAAGACATAATAACAGACAAGCAAATGGTGAGTTTAAACCCTGAATCCAAGCAAGAAGTCCCTATGTGTATAGATCCTGAATTCAAGCAAGAAGTTCCTGTGTGCACTAATCCCGAGTCCATGCAAGAAGTCCCCATGTGTATGGATCCTGAACCCAACCAGGAAGCTTCCATGTGCACAGATCCTGAATCCAAACAAGAAGTGCCCATGTGCACAGATCCCGAATCCAAGCCAGAAGTTTCCCTGTATACACACCCAGAGAGCAAGCAAAAATCACCTTCAGAAATAGACACTGAATTTAATCTAGAAGCACTCATGTGTGCACACCCTGAAGTTAAACAAGAAGACGCCATGGATATGGAACCTGAAATAAAGCAAGCAACCATGGTTTCAGAGTCTGAGATCTTAAAGGCAAGTGGCTGTGCCTCCCCCACCTCCATCTACAATGTCATGATTGAAAGTATACCTACTAACAGGTTTGACTGTGAGCACTTATTACCTGCAGAGGACCATAGGAGTGTCCAGACGGGAAACCTCTTGAGTCTAGTTAGGGAGATATATGTAACCATATCATAAAGACATCTGATACTGTCTCGTGAGTAGGATGGGAAAGAGCTGAAGGGTTCTAAGGAGAGGCTGTTGTAGTCAGACAGGAGGCTTCCCCATGGAGTCAGGGAGGACAGCATTTGCTTTGAGTAATTCAAATGTGGGATTATAGGAACCTTATAGATGTAGTGATTAAAATTAGTGTCACTGTGAGGCACACTGGTAAACTATGAAGGCTCTAGGGCTCGAAGAGAGGGAACCTGGAACTGATATGGTGCAGCCACACTCTAAATGTAAATGCTAGGAGCTTAGGCTGATTGTAAGTTAGCATTACATAAGCGTCCAAGAGTGTGGTTCTATGTTAGACACAGGCTTTATCTTTTCTCAGTCCTGTGAAATAGGTACTTTTCTAGTCATGCCTAACTCTGCCATCATGTCTTCACTCATGCAAAGTGTATGCTTAACCCTTGAGCCAAATCCCCAGTCCTGTGTATGTTGGTCATACGGATAAGGTGATACCCACAGGAATGGCCAAAGCTTGCAAGCTCTGAGCCAAGCATGACTTTACCCACAAGCTCGTTAGTAGTATATTGTGTCACCACTATTGACAATTCAGATGTAAGAATTCCATAACACCGTGTATCCCTGGCTGTCCTAGAACTCACTACGTAGACCAGGCTGACTTTGAACTCACAGACATCTGCCTGCCTCTGCCTCCCTCGTGCTAGGATTAAAGCCATGTGCCACCTACCTGGTTCTCTCGCTTTCCATAGCCAATCATGGTGAATCTTGTTACTTCTATTAAATAGGATTTCCATTTGTGCAGTGTCCATTTCTTCCAGCGTTCTTTTTCCCCCGGTCCCAGCTGTCTCTCGTGGAAATTACCATCTTAATTGTCAAGAACTCCTCCTGAGTAGTAGACTTTTACCCCTTTTAGTTCATTTGCCATGCTGTGTGGTGAAACCAAGTCCTTTATCTAGTATTTTCTTGTAATTCTTATGATCTTGTAACAAAAACATGTAGCCAAGAGATAATGGTATCCAGCCTCTGCCTCATACCCCACTGGTTTTCTCCCATTTCCTTTGATTATGTGGCCCTCACGATATGGAGCACGCTTTTCCACCTTGTGGGCAGCTACCATGAACTCCTAGTTAATGCTTTTCAGTCTGTTCTGTTACAGCCTCTGTTAAAAGTGTGTCTTACCCAGCCATCTGTGGGCTTCAGTTGGAATCTGTTTGTGTGATCAACAGCTTTCTTGTGGACGGGTGGCCCTGGAGCAGGTCATGAGTTTTTCCAATGCCGTATGTTACGCCTCACATACTGTCTTTTAATAGCTCATCTTTAAATATTTGTGGGCTAAATGACCTTCTCCCCCATCTGTAGCTTAGCTCCTTAGGGACTTCTGTTCCTGCTACAAGCGCATCGGTCTCTCTCCTTTGTAAAAAGCCATTGACCTGTTTTTTGTTAATGGATTGTGACAGGTAAACTAATAGCAATTACAGTAAAATGTAGATTCTCACATTCCTTAAGAGACTCGTAAGTGGGCAAATACTAAGAATTTAAGAAAACAAACTGACTGCTTGCACTTGGGAAGTATCATTAGTGCTTCGTGGTAGAAAGGGTAAGGGGGAACTGCAGGAAAGTGCTGGCAGTCTGGAGAAAAGTGAAGTGTGTGTGGGCTGGAAAAAAGGTTGGTGACCTTCCAGACGGGGGAAGGTGGGTCTGACTTTGCTTAACCTTCAGTTTTATTATGCAGATTGGATATGACAATGCTACTTCTAATACAGAGCCTGCAAAGATTGTCCTCAGATCCCTGTGTCTATAGCACTCTTGTTAAAGTCTTGTTTGTTCAGTCACCTCTGTGGAGGTAGAAGCTCTTGGCCCCCTTCTGACTGGAGGGCAGGGGTGTCCAAGGCTCCTGATATCCAGTACTAAGGCCAGGATCCCCACCCAGTTTCTGGATCTGACCTGGCCACATAGAGATGAAATTGATCAGGAGTTCCAAGAGCACAGAAGTAAATGGCGTCCCATGGAGCTGCCTCCTCCTGGTCTCCTGTGTGCCATTTGAGGGGATGTCTGACACAGGCTTAGCCTGGGTTGTCCCAGAGGGAGGCGATGTTGGTTTACCTTGCTGACCCCAGCCACTCAGTTGGCTTTTTGTTTTCATCTGTCCCACACATTCTCTGACTCAGGGTCTGCTTGTGAGGGTCCTCCTGCCTCCTACCAAGTCCACAGTCTGGGTAACACTCTCAGTTCCTACAGCAGGGGTGAGCCTGACAGCTTAGGTCAGACCACACAGGGAACCTCATTTGTTATGAAAGAGTTTGGTGCTTGATTCCTGTACCTAGTGAAGCAGCATTGCTTGATGGGATTGAACGTTGGTTTTTAAACACTGGTTACACTGCAAAGAGCAGATTTAAACTCACTACGGCAGAAGCCTAAGTAAAAGACAAACTTGGATAAATGAGCTGGAATTAGGAAATGGCAGTCAGAGGAGCAGCTGCATTGTGCTTTTTGGTATGGAGGTTTCCCACCCTAGTTTTACAATTAATAGTCTGCCAGTAGATGCTGAGCACCGGCTCTGCTGTGCGTTATGTGTTAGTTGGAAATGCTGAGGAGGTGAGGGGGTACACAGGAGAGCAGCAGATTTATCATTCATGATCAAATAGCCTGATCCAAAGTTCTTATATCACCTGGGGTGTAGCTTAGCCGTAGAACATATACTTAGCAAGGCCCTAGATTCAATCCCTGGAACCAAGAAAATAACAAAGATACGATGTCAAGATTTGAATTTATGTTTTTCAATGCAAAGAAAAGAAATATAGGAAAGAATTTTGGGTATTAACCGCTTCAGAATTCTCAATCTTTCTGCCTGAGCCTCCCAAGTGCTAGACTTGCAGGCATGTGCCACTAGAACTGGCTTAGAAGTGAAATTAACAGTAAGTAGGTTTGCATTCAGTTGTAGAATTTTTCCTGGAACACCTGAATCAGTAGCTGCAGCAGCTAAGGGAGAAGGGACATTTTCAGGAAGTGATTAACTAAGTTCCACTACAGAGTAGTGAAATGTAGCATCTTTGATGTGTGCACTCAGTGTGAGCCTGAAGTTCTAGTCCCAGGAGGAAAGAGACCTTTAGAAGCCATTCTCTTTTTATGTGTCTTGGAATATGTAGGATGGAGTCTTAAATACTCAACAGAGAGACAACAAGAAGAATGAGGAGAAAGCAGTTCTCTTATAAGAGGAGAAAAGTGATAAGAGCGTAGGTACTATAGAGCCTAAGTACTACAGAGAGTAGGTACTACAGAGGGTAGGTACTATAGAGCGTAGGTACTATAGAGCCTAAGTACTACAGAGAGTAGGTACTACAGAGGGTAGGTACTATAGAGCGTAGGTACTATACAGCCTAGGTACTACAGAGAGTAGGTACTATAGAGTGCAGGTATTATAGAGTAAATACTATAGAGAGTAAGTACTATAGAATGTAAGTACTATAGAGAGTACTATAGAATGTAGGCACTATAGAGAGTAAGTACTATAGATCATAGCTACTATAGAGCATAGGCAGTGTAGAGCATAAGTACTATAGAGCATGGGTGCTATAGAGAGTAAGTCCTATAGAACATAGATGCTATTCGATGCTATAGAGTGTAGGTGCTATGGAGCATAAGTACTAGAGAGCATAGGTACTATAAAGGTCAAGGAATAGGGATGGGTTCTGTGGAGCCCACTAGACAGACTCCAATGGCTAGCTCTAAGCCCACAGCCACACAGATGACCTCGGCTAATCTTGATGGGCCACTTAACTCAAGTAGACATACAGACATGAGAGATTTGTAGAGAGGGTGGCATGGGTGGTAAGGACATAGGAAGTGAAAACATGGAAATTGCATGTATTGAAGTTTAAAAATTAAAGTCTTTTTTTTTTTAAAATAGGGCTTGGGCCATCTGGGTTTGGCAGTTGGGAGATTTTGGTGACTTTTCTAGTGATTGTGGACAGGTGCTTCTGCAAAGGTGTAGGTAGACTGCTTGCTGGGGTCTGCAGAGGGGCAGCAGAGAAGAAGAGGTCAGGAACTCATAGGAAAGAGCAAGTGTGCGATATATTGTATTTACTGGTGAACTTAATTATGTGGCCCTTGCCCCCACGCCCACCCTTGTTAAGTCTTACAAACCTGTCTGATTGGCAGCTAGAACTCCAGTTTGCATGATTTAACTATATATGGCCAACTATAACTTCCAGTGGAAAGACTTGCTGTGGAACAGCAGCAGGCCTGGCCACAACCACATGCACAGAACTGCATGCTTCTCTCTCAGTCGAGAAATCAGATGGAACAGCACATCATAGAGTGCTCGTGATACTGGGTTAAACTGCAGTTAAAGGGCAGAGTGGAAACAGGGAGCACTTGGGTGCTGTTAATACCACTGAATCAAGAATCCTAAGTGCATATTAACTACAAACATTCAACCTTCAGAAGGGATTGTTATATCTCAAAGCATATGTAGTTGCCAAAATTAAATTTTATTGAAAGAGTACAATTATATAGCTCATTATTATTTTCTAGGCAAATTTATAAAACTACAAACTAAAATAAAAATTAAAGAGTAAGAAAGTGGCCTGGGAATGGTGGCCCATTGTTTTAATCTTAGGATCTCTGTGACTTCGAGACCAGACAGACACTTGTTCACATAGTGAGTTCCAAGACAGCCAGGACTATGTAGAGAGACCCTGTCACAAACAAAAACAAACAAACAAAAGCCAACAACACAAACACAAAACAATCTAACAACAAAAAAGTCAGAAGTGAAAGAGTGAATTTAAAATTAGAAGTGTGCCGGGCGGTGGTGGCGCACGCCTTTAATCCCAGCACTTGGGAGGCAGAGGCAGGCGGATTTCTGAGTTCGAGAGTTCTAGGCTAGCCTGGTCTACAGAGTGAGTTCCAGGACAGCCAGGGCTACTCAGAGAAACCCTGTCTCGAAAGACAAAAATAAATAAATAAATAAAAATAAAATTAGAAGTGGGGCTGGAGGGATGGTTCAGTGGTTAAAAGCATTGGTTGCTCTTCCAGAGGACCTAGGTTCAATTCCCACCACCCATGGCAGCCCACAGCTCTCTGTAACTCCAGTTCCAGGGGGAATCTGACACCCTCCCACCTGTGCACATGAAATAAAATTAAATAAATTAGTTTTTAAAAAAATAGAAGTAATTTTGCTGGGGAAAAAAAACACGAAATCCATGAGCATCTGTATTGGAGATTACATTAAAAGTGTTCCTCCTTTTCTTTCCCTTTCTTCCTTCCCTCTCTCCCTCCCTCCCTCCCTCCTTTCCTCCCTCCCTCCCTCTTTCTTTCCTTCTTTCTTTCTTTCTTTCCTTCTTTCTTTCTTTCTTCGAGACAGACAGGGCCTCTCTGTGTAGTCCTAGAGAAGGTAAGTCATGATCAAGGTTAGCCCAAGAGTGTTGTGAAGTGGGAGGTTAGGAAGCCATGGATCTGGAAGCTCAGTTAGGAGCCTTTTGTATCAGTCCTAATGTAAGGAAGGCGGTGAGCATATGTTTGTTGGAGACCTGAGCCCTCGAGCAGACAGAATAATAAAGTTCTGCACAGGTAAGTATGAGAGTGCTAGATTGGAGGACGCAGGAGAGGAGTGATCCAAGTGAAGTTTTGAACTTGTTAGTCCAAAAAACAAAACATATAAATGCCACTTGATGCCATGTGTTTGAACTCCAGTTCCCTGTCTGGGTGTTTTAAACTGATAAGTGGTGTTGACTGTTTCTTTCTAAACCTCAAAAGTTTGTTTATTTTCAAGGGGAACTCTGTTGCATTTGAATCCTTGAACAGATTGCCAGGATGCAGCATGTCCACTCAGAAAGCTACCTAGTGTACAACATAATGAGCAGTGGAGAGATAGAGTGTAGTAACACCCTGGAGGACGAGCTGGACCAAGCCCTACCGAGCCAAGCCTTCATCTACCGCCCAGTCCGGCAGCGTGTCTACTCACTCTTATTTGGGGACTGGAAAGGTGAGGTCAGTTGGTCCGTTTTAGCAGTGATTCTGTTTGGAGTTGGATTCTGAGAAATGAAGGAGTGCGCATTGTCTTAGGACAAGCAGACGACCGGTTCTGTTCGTCTGTAAAATCTACTTGAGAACACCATTAATGATTAATACCACAAAACATTACTATGTCTCTGAGTTTGAGGCCAACTCAGTCTGCACAGCGAGCTCCAGGACAGCCAGCACCACAGAGAGAGACCCTGTCTCAACAAGCCAACTAGGGGAAGTCCTGGTCCTACAAACAAACAAACAAACCAGGATTGTTGTCAGATTGGAGCATCTCAGCAATAACGGTTTAGAATCAACATTGCGCTTTGCTCCTTCCCAGGTAGTTGAAATCAGTGTCTCTTCTCCCTGCCTGTGTAAAGAGGCCAAAACAGCACTTGGAAATTTGTACAAATGTCCCACACACCAAGATTTAGGTAAGAAACTAGAAATGCAAACAGACTTGCATATTTAAACAGTCCTAGGAAAAACAAGTACAGGCTAAATAGGAAAGAGTTTTCAAAGTGTAAACGCATTGCTGGGAGAGAGGTGGGAGGGTGTCACTGAGGAGGGTCCATCCCCGAACTGAGGTCACTCCTTAGCTACAGACAGCCTTGGTCTATTCAGTGGGAAGTCAGGAAGGGTGGATCCATGATGTGAATATCTGTTCCCGGGGTCGTGTGTGAACACATCCTACCCTGCCTTCCCACTTTGCTTCCCTGTCTCCTTTTCTGCTGTTGTGAAAACGTTCAGTAAGAACTCCTGCCGGATTATGACACTCCTTTCTGGTCTTTAAAAAAGCTTTTAAATTTTATATATGAGTGTTTTGCTTACGTGTGTATCTTTGCACCATGTGTGTACCTAGTGCCTGTGTGAAGGTCAGAAGAGGGTGTCAGATCCCCTGAAAGTGGAGCTTTGGGTGTTTGACAGTGGTCATGTGAGTGCTGGGAATTGAACCCAGGTCCTCTGTAAGAACAAGTCATTTTAACCATCAACACATCTCTCCAGCCCATTCCTTCTGGTCTTGAGCTCAGTATTTGAAGCCACTTACAGAACTTACATTAGACCTTTAAAAATGAAAGTCCTTCTGTGAGTTTGGAGAGTAATTATTGTAAAATTTCAGCTGGCTTGGAGTTTTCTGGTGTTGTGGTTTACCCCTTTTCACAAAGCAGTGTGACTTGGGAAATGCAGTAGCTGTTATCAACATGATCATGTTCTTCCCTGGGGTGAGAGGAAAAGCCACAAGGCCAGTGGTTGTGCAAGGACTTTGTGTTCCTCCTGTACTTACTGACCCATTGTCTTTATGCAGATGAAGCCAGCAACGGCCCAGTGGTCAAGGAGTGGTTTGTGTACCCTGGTAACTCCCTGAAGCACCCAGACCTAGTTAGGCCTCTGCAGATGACCGTTCAAGGTATGTAGTGCCTTAAAAGCTATCCATCTTAGGATGTCAGCTCAAGGAAGACTACATTGTATGACTTCCTGTTTGCAGAATTACATGTTGTCTTAGGGTTTTATTGCTGTGAAGAGAAATCATGACTAAGGCAACTCCTTATAAAAGAGAACATTTAATTGGGGCTGGCTTATACTTTCAGAGATTAAGTCCAATATCATCATGGCGGGAAGCATGGCAGCATCCAGGAAGACATGGTGCTGGATGAGCCAAGAGTTCTACATCTTGATCCAAAGGCAGTCAGAAGGAGATTCTCCTCTGCATGCAGCCAGGAGGAGGCCCTCTTCCATACTGGGTGGAGTTTGAGCATAGGAGACCTCAAACCCTGCCTACACACTGACACACTTCCTCTGACCTGATAGTGCCACTTCCCATGGGCCAACCATATATAAACCACCACACATGTTGATTGAGGTTTATTTTTTAATTCCTGTGCCCTGAAAGACTCCATTAGCAGGGATGGAGGTAGGTGGAGGTCAACACTGAGGATCTTCTTAAGTCCACTTTGATTCTATTTTTTTAAGACAGTCTCTCACTGAACTTGGAACTCACTAATTTGACTAGACTTGCTGACCAGAGAACCATAGAGACTGCCCAGTCTCCACATCCCTAGCTCTGGGATTGCAGGTGCATGCTGTTGCCCCTGGCTTTGTGTGTGTGTGTGTGTGTGTGTGTGTGTGTGTGTGTGTGTGCATTCTGCGACCGCATCATGAAGGCACTGGCCTAGGCCGTTGATAGAGTCATAATCTGATGGTATTATTAGGCACTTAGGAGGAGGGGCCTCAAGTTTACCTGAGGTATGCCTTTGAAGGCGTTCTCCTCACAGAGCATGTGATACAGACAGATCCTGTCAGCCATCCTTACCCATCGTCATCAGGAAAGACTTAAAGATGCTTTGTCGTAGCCTCGAGCATCTTGTTTCCATGTCAGATGGGAGTTTTTCTTTCCTTCAAAGGTAGTCTTCACTGGCTGCCTCATGATACTTCACTTTTAAGTGAGCCTTCTCTGTTCTTTCTCTTTTTAAAGGCTTCTCCTGAGACTGTACCTTGAGGGGTCATTTGTGTACTTCTCTAAAGTCCTTTCCCTTTTAGCTTTCCCCAACAAGTAGAAATAAAAAAGAAATCAGGTGTTTTCAACAAAGTACAGGGAGGTAGAGGACTGCAGGGAAAAAAAATAAAAAGATATTCCTTAAAAGTCAGGAAGGAGAGCTGGATGTGACGGGCAAGCCTGTGAGCTCGATACCCTAAGAGGAAGGAGGGTCCTGTCCGGTTCAAGGACAGCTCGGGCTGCGTAATGAGACACTGTCTCAAAAAGGAAAAAGAAAAATCAAGAGGGGGTTCAGAAAGGAGGAAGCAGACAAAAGGAAGGAAGGAGAAGAAATTAAATGTTGCCCAACAAGGAAACAGAAAAGGAAGCACATTCCTGTTCACTGTGTTCCAATATGTTCTCTAAACTTATGCACTGGAAGCAGAGCCAGGAACGTGATGGTCCAAGACAGGCAGGGGGCCTTTGGGAATGAGTGGGTGAGTAGGTGAGATTGTGCCTTTATAAAAGGACACCACAGGAAATTTTCTTGTTCTTTCCTCCATGGGGACACACTGTGCACCAGGAAACAGGCCCTCATTAGACACAAGTGCCTTGTTCTAAGGCTTCCAGCTTCAGTCTTGAGAAACGGCTTTGCTGCTATAACCAGCCCGGTGTGTGGTATTTTGTTAAAGCAGCCCAAGTGGGCGAAGACGTGGGTCTGCTGTATGCAAAGAGCTCACTGACAGTCTATCCCCCTCCGAGTCCCTTGTGTGTATGTGCTTGCACGTGTGTGCACATCATTCACTTAGCAATACCTTGTGAAAGATGGCTTTTTGCTAACATAGGAAGGGATTTAGTCTTGTTCTCCAGCTTAAGGACTGCAAGGTTCCTCCATGAGCTGCCTCTCGAGCTTCTCCCCCATGAGCTGCCTCTCCAGCTTCTCTCCCGTGAGCTTCCTCTCCAGCTTCTCCTCCGTCTCATTTATGGTCTTCGTATCCTTAAGTTTGAGAATGGAATAGTCATTCCTGTCTCCAGAACTAGACAACCTGAAATGAAGGCAATTTCCTCTCAGTATTGTTTTTGTTTTTGTTTTGTTTTGTTTTGTTTTGTTTTTTCAAGACAGGGTTTCTCTATGGAGCCCTGGCTGTCCTGGAACTCACTCTGTAGACCAGGCTAGCCTCGAACTCTCGAACTCAGAAATCACCTGCCTCTGCCTCCCAAGTGCTGGGATCAAAGGCGTGGGCCACCACTGCCCAGCCTCAGTATTGTTTTTTAATCATAAGTAAGTCTTTATTTCAGAAGCTTAGGGAAGCTTATTGAATACACTGATACAGCTAGCTGTCTCTGGAACAGGTGTTAGTGTAGTTTAGCACTTAGTAAGTAAACAGTGCTTTTGGCCTCATAGGGGATCTGACCTGCCATGGACTTAGTCTGAGAAGACTGTCATAGAATAAAGGAAGTGAAGCCTTGCATTTCATGAAAAAGGTTCTGTTTTTAACCCATTTTGCTCCCACTTTCTTTTTTCGGTTCCTCCTGTCCTGAGTAGGTCAGGAAAGATTTCTGTGTCCCAAACACATGCAACCACATGGAAGGTTATCTGTCTCTCCGGGTTCCTCAACAAATCAGTGTGGACCACATATAAAAACAGGGAAGCTGTCAAGTAAATGACACAAATGTGTATTACAAGATGAGGGTTGCACCTATACCTTTAATATCCATTGTGACTGTTTCAAATCCACTGGGTAGAAACAGGGTACCAAGCAAGCATGAAATTAGACGGCTTAGCTGTGCATAGATAGAATCCAGTGTTCTGTTGCAATCTCGTCACTTAGGTATGAAGAATGCTTTATTATGAGAAAAAGCCATTGAATAGCTTAGCCATGTATAGATAGGATTCAGTGTTCTAATGTAGTCTAGTCACTTAGATATGAATGTTTCATTATGAGAAACAGACAGTTGAAATGTACTCAGCTAAAACTCACTCGTATGTGGGTATGTGAGGGTTATTTATTGCCTTTCTTTAACTGAGCTTTTTTCTTATCCTCTTTGGACATAAGACAGACAGTTCTATATTTGTTGGAGGTTTTTTGTTTGTTTTGTTGGTTTTTTTTCCTCAGTTAGACTTTTTCATCTTAGAAATAAATAAGGAGAAAACCCTTAAAGACAACTAAATGTCTCTGACACTTAATTTGCTTGTTTCTGTTAATTTGCTTATGGGGAGTACATAGAGGCACTGGTTTTGTACCTTCCTGTTTGTCCATGCATCTTATTCACATATAAGTACTTGTGTTTATAGCTGTGAAAACACAAGCTTTGCATTGCTTTGTACTTATTTGGGGAACCCCACTGTAGCTCCCTAGACCTGTCTTGAAGTCTTCAGAAGTGCCCCCCCTTCCTTGGCCTCTGGAACTCCATCCTTCCTAAAGCCTGTACTATCTACCTGTTCACATAGACTCTTACCACATTGGTAATTAGATTTTGAAGCTGACGTTCCCTTGCTGTAGTCTGGAGACCAGAGTGTATGTCGTGGCTTCTGAATTCTGGATGTAAATGCCTCAGCTGCATGAAATTTAGGGGTTCCATTGGTTCTTCAGTGGTTTGCTTTAGCCCAGACTCTAGATAAGAACATGGATGTGAATGTGTGAATTGAGAGAGACTGCATGCCTGAGAGCATGTGTGCATGTGTGTATCCCAGTGTGAATGAGTGTGTGTGTGTGCGCATGTGTGGTTATGCCTGCACATGCATGTCAGCTGGTGGACAAGAGTGTATATGTACATTTGTCTCCTATACAAGCTGTGTCCTAAGCTGATCACCTTATTGTTTTTTTAAACATACTTCTTATAAAGTGCAATTATTTAAAAAATTTCCTCTATTTTGGGGCAGTCTCAGCAACCAGTTAGTTCTTTTTCTTGGAGCTTACAATTACAAAGCATTAATCTAGGCATCCTTCAAAACACACCTCACCCTGCCCTGGTGAGGATGATACTGGAGACCTATGGGAGAAAGAAGAGAAAAGTCCTGTAACAAAGCCTTTGTGTAGATACACCAGAGGGGCCGCGTACTCTGGAGTGTTCATTTCTGATATCTGGAGACAAAACCCTTTTCCCACCTCCTACATTTGGTGTACATGAGCATTTGATATTTCTTGACTAAACAAATTATTGATTACATTTAGAAATGAAATTCTCTGACATTAAGGGATTTCAGGCTATTTCTCCCACCCTGCCAAGATACTGACAGAACACCAAGAAAAAGAATGTGACCCCTGCAGCTGCTGCTGCAGAGAAGCAGGAGGCCAAAAGCATGGTGAATCCTGTTTGAAAAAGGCCCAAGAACTTTGGCCTTGGATAAGAGATCTCGCCCCAATCCATTCTGCTGCAGCAGCAAAGCCTATAAGTGGCTGCAGTTATCCAGTCCACCCCTGACCCTGGACCATCAAACACCTACTCAGCTTCTTAAGTCTGTTCACAAGTGCAGGCCAAAGACAGCGAGAAAAACAGCAGCAAAATTGTTGTCTCACGCTGAGACAAAAGCTGCTGGCTAAGGAGACAGCCCCACTGAGAGACTACCAGTTTTGAGTAGGGGTCAGCACTGTCACTGCCTTCATGGAGAACAGGAAGTCTGAGCTGATGGTGGCTACCCATGATAGATAGATCCCATTGAGTTAGTAGTCTTTTGCCTGTTCTGTGTTTCAAGATGACTCCTGCTGGGTCATCAAGGAGAAAGCCAGACCAGAGCACCGGTCCACAGGAAGGCATGCACCATCATTGCCTTCACAGAAGTTAACCAGAAGATAAGGTAGCCCTAGCCAAGCTGCTGGAAGCTATCAAGACTAATTACAGGGGCAGATGTGATGAGATCTGTCTAGAGACAACAGCCTAGGTCCAAGATCTGTGCCTTGCATTGCCACACTGGAAAAGACACAGGACAAAGAGCTTTCTCCACCAAACTGGGTTAGATGTACACTGCTGCATTTCCTGTTGAACATAAATACAATAAAAGTTGTCCTTCCAAAAAGAGAGAGGAGGGAGGGAGGGAGGGAGGGGGAGGGAGAGAGGGAAGGAAGGAAAGAAAGAGAGGTGGAGGGAATTGATTTTGAGGTACTGGGTAGATGGCTCAGCAGTTAAGAGAGCAGTACACTGCTCTTATAGAAGTCCTAGCTTTGACTTCCAGCACCTACATGGCAGCTCACAACAGTCTGTAACTTCAGTTCCAGAGAAATTGATGTCCTCCTGGATGCAGTTACACAAGCACAGACACATACCTAAAAAAAAATAATTTTAAAGGAGAGATTTGGTGTGTGGTCTTTCACCCTGATGGCTCTGTAATCTCTTACATTTCCAGGCTGCTCAGGGGCCAATTTCTAATCGCCTGTACATGGTGGTGGGGGCAAAGGGTGCTGGGTGGTATTCAGACTTGACATGTATCAGAATCTCCTGGTCTGAGCCTAAACAAAAAACAAAATTGCTGGCTGACTCCCAAGATTTTGTAGTTGGGTATAGTAGAATGGGCTGAGGATGGTGTTTCTCAGTTGTCAGGTTGCATTGTGGTTGCTACTCTTACAAAAAGACCCAGGTCTGTGAGGAGAGAATGGAGCCCAACTCTGTACTTGTTTCTTACTCATTGCTGGTATGCCACCAGTGTGTCCACAGCCATTGAAAACCAGGAACCAAAGAGACAGCCTGTCCACTCATATGCTCTGCTGCCTACAATTCTGGGCACTGTACTGGTCCCTGTGAGGAGGCCCCGCTGCAGATCTACACTTTGAAATGGATGCCTCTGTTTTCTAGCGCAGGGAATATCACGTCAGCTTCCCTTAGGGTTTCTGTGTCTGTCTCCCTACTGCCTGATTCACCTTTGATTTTTCAGTCAGTTCCCACTTCAGCCAGGGTCCTCTTTCACAGCCTCCCTTCCTGCTCACCTCCATTCCATTTCCATGGCTCCACTCTAAAGGCCTGAGACATTTCCCATCCCTGAGTGTCTCTTCGCCCCAGCTGAATCCTCTGTCTTCAGTCTTAGCTCACATCTGTCTTCTTCGTGGAACTGTCTTGTTAAGACTGTGTTAGCGCCATCATTTGGTCAGTTTCTGCCTGTGCGTGAGCTCCCTGAACGCTCACACTGGGTCTGTGTTGTTCCCAGTTGGGCCTTTGGTACCCACCATCAACAGCACATGTCACGTGGATGGTCTATAGTTACTTCTGAACATTCTCTACAAATATCTCGCGTTTTTGTATTTGTTATGACTTAAATCTGAAACTCCCCACAGGTTCACATTTTCAACAGTTGGTCCTTGGACAGTGGTGCTGTGGTAAAGGCTGTGAGTGCTTTAGGAGGTAGGATCTGGCTGAAACAGTGGGTCAGTAACAGTGGGCTTTCCCTGCCTCGGCTTACGGCCTATGTCTACAACTCATGGGTGGCAGTGTGAGTAGCTGCTGCCCAGTGCCCCTGCTGCGTCTGGTCACTGTTGTGATGCCGGGAACTCCTCAGAAGCCATGAGCTGAAACCCCTTTGTCCTTTCAGTTGTTCTGTCTTGTAGCTTCTGTGATAGTAGACTTCTGTGTGTGAGCAAAGGGAAGACCAGGTAATCCCACTGTGTCTGGACTCTCAGCAAAGGGAGCACCAGGTGAAATTTCACTGTGTCTGGACTCTCAGTAAGGGGAGCACCAGGTGATCCCACTGTGTCTGGACTCCCAGCAAGGGGAGCACCAGGTGATCCCACTGTGTCTGGACTCCCAGCAAAGGGAGCACCAGGTAATCCCACTGTGTCAATGGACTTTCTGCTCTGCTGCACTTGATGTTTGGTTATAAGGGAGGGAAGGGACAGGGTCTTAGCACATGCTCATTGCTCCAACAGCCCCCAAGCCACACATGCCTGCCTTTCCTCTTGAAACCTCCTCAGAGCCCCTTCCTCTGTTCACTTTTTTCTTCATTTGACCTGAGATAATTCTGGTGTAAAATCTTTATATTTCTTTTATATAACTAGGATTTAACCCGAGGACTTCTGAATGTTAGGCACATGTCTGCTAGAAAGCTAAATACCAGTCCTTAAATGTCAGTTTGCTTGTATGATCTTTTTTCTGTTTTGAGACAGGATCTCTTTGTAGCCCTGGCTATCTTAGACTCTATATACCGTCCATGCTGGCCTTGAACTCACAGAGATCCACCTGTCAATGCTACTTCCCAAGTGCTGAGATTTAAAAGCATGCACCACTACACCAGGTGATAATCTTTTTGCTGCAAGCTCTCCCCAGGCAGCAGGCAGCTGTCATTTTTATGGATGTGTTCAGTATAAATATACCAGTGATCATAAACATCAGTACATAGGGGCGATCAGAAACTTCTGTGACAAAAAAAAAAGAAAAAAAAATAAGAGTTGTTTTGATTCTAGCACTGAGGATCAAACCTAGCCCCTCTAGATGCTAGGTCAGCACTGTACCCCCGAGTAACCCAGAGCCCTCTCTTTTGTTAGACACTTTAAGTCTCCACCTCCGTATCTAAAGCTGTCTCCTGGAGTTGAGACCCTAAACAAATGAAGGCTGAGAGTGAAAATGGTCACTACTCACTCAGCCTGAAGTTCCTCACTTACTACTTCCACTATCTCCAATTCTGGATATATTTCACAAATCTCCGGGTTTCTTTAATGTTAAACTGATGTCTCCAGAAGTATCATTTCATGAAGAAATGGCCTTTACTGCCTTGAACAGTGAAGTGAATCTCTTCAGTGTTCTGTGTTTTAAAATACTATAATGTCTGGGTGGAAAGGTGTAGGAGTTCCTTGTGTATTTGTTTGCTTGCTTTTTAGGAATTGCAACCACTGACTTTCATAATTTAAAAACCTCTCTTCTAAGTACTTTAATATTTGAAATAACTATGATAGTAGAAATGTATTATTTCCCTTATATCAGAGGCTGTTAGCAAGCCTTTTGTTTCTAATGTCTCATAGTAAGTATGCTCGGCTTTGTGGGCCCTGTGGCTTTCCATTTCTTGTAACCTATGTCATCAAAGTGGAACCTCAGATAATGCGTGCACGAGGGAGCAGAGCAAGTTTCCAGTTAGACTTGATAAACATTGAACCGATGTTGGGATTTTATATTTGGTTGTACTAGGAAATAGCAGTTTTCTTTTGATTCCCTTTCAACCATTTAAAACAGAAAACAGTTGTTAGCTCACAGGCTCACAGATAGCAGACCATCATATACATTGGGAGTAGTTTCCAACAGGTTCTCAAATACCCATCCTGACCTTGAAGTGGGATGCCTTAAGTACCAGTGTCTCAGAGGATAATTGTGTAAAACATTTTCTTTCTCTCAGAGAAAATGGCCTCCATCCCAAAATTAATAACAGAAACGTGTTTGGTAAATGAAATACTTTAGCCTTCTCAGGACAGCAAGTGACTTACTGTGTTGTTCTGCTTCTGAGGTGGGAAGAGGCGAGAAGGAGTTTCCTTTGAGTCCCTGGCTTCTGATACCATTTGGTTCGGTGCTTTGTTTTCATGGTGAACATGTGAGATATCTCACCCTAGTTGCTCTGGACTTTTGGTGCCCAGCAGAGAGCCCCAGCTGCCAGGGGAGGCGCTGCCACAGTTCTCAGACCAGCACCTTTATGTTTGTGTAGAGTTGCCACTGTTTGTCACTCGTATTCAGGACAGTTTGTCTTCATCAAGTTAACAAGAAGGGACATCTTTTTCAAAATTTCCATAATTGTTTCGATGATCCTGCATAATATAGAAATGGAACACTAAAAATTACCTTTTAGACATTTTTGTTTGGTGGTTTTGGATTTATACATCACAGGCTATAGGTTCTTTGAATGCATAGTCACTGGAACATACACCTCTCAGATCAGAAGGTTTGTATCCATCCCAGAAAATGCATCCCAGAGTCTCTGCAACTGAGTCTTTTGTACATAAAAGTTTGGAAGCTACCAATTTAAGAGGAGTTATCTCTAACTGAAGGGGTAGGAGGATGGCCTTTCCCCAGAGCTTACCATCCTGTTACTAGATCCTTGAGGGGAAGGTTGTATTTTCTGAAAAATACTTCTCAGTGTGGTGTGTAGCTTGAACTCAGGTAAAACCCCATTTCCTCCACAGACCAGCTATCAGGCCAGGTCTTGAGTAGGTATGTGCTGGCCCTGGAAGTCTGTTTTCTTTGAAACCTAGAGGCAGCACTCTGAAGTATGCCCTCTGGTTCTCTTAACCCTTGAGTGCCCAAGTAAATCAGATAGGGAAGAGATGAATCATTTTCCACTGTGCTTCCAAAAGTGCATTATGATCATGCTATATGGATTTCTTTTTTTAAGGGGGAACACCTAGCTTGGAAGTTCTGTGGCTCAGCCAAGAGCCAGAAGCACAGGCCCGGCGCCTGGACACGTTGCTAGCCTGCTTCAACCTTTCCTCCTCAAGAGAAGAGCTGCAATCAGTTGAAAGCCCATTGAGAGCACTGTGCTGCCTCCTGATATACCTCTTTGTCCAGGTAAACACTGAGCTCACAGTTCTGTCTGTAAGTATCGATAGCCCTTCATCTCTGGCCTTCCTGGGGTGCTGTGAGTGATTCCATGGCCAGGACCCATGGTCTCTTTCCATAGAACACAATCCTTCAAGGTGCTCATGGAGACAGTGAGTCAGGACTTTTCACAACAAGAGATTAGTATATAGACGAGTAAGTGGTGTCCATATTTGTTCACAATGTTGACTTTTCTCTCAGAATACTGTGGCAAACCTAGAAGGATAAATTATAAAATATCATAGTTTTATGTAGTTGAGCTTAAATTACCTTTTTAAAAATAGTTCATTTCATGTATATGAGTGTTTTGTTTCACCTGTCCCATGTATGCACGTGTACTGCCTATGTGCCTGGTTCCCATGGAGGTCAGAAGAGGGCATTAAATTCCCTGGAACTAGAGATATGGTTGGTTGTGAGCCACCATGTCGGTATGTCTAATTTAAGGAAATCTTGGACATGCATTATACTTGTTACTTTGATTATTGGTATAATAAAATCCCTGGCCAAACATTAGGAAAGAAGTTACTTTGGCTCATAGTTTGAGGGAACACAATCCACCATGACAGGATGACAGGAAGAGCAAGGTGGCAGGAACTCAAGGAAGTTGGTCCTATTCATGAGCAGAATAATAAATGCTGTTGCTATGCATACTTTCTCATTTTTATTCAGCCTAGGACTTTTGACCACAAAATGGTTCCACCTGCATTCGGGGTGGTTCTTCCATTTCGGCTAACCCAGTCTCGAAACTCCCCAGCAGACATGCCCAGATGTTTGTTTCCACCATAAATTCTAAATCCCATCGAATTAACAATCATGCTTAGTTAACTGTAAGAAAAGACACATGAGAGTTGGGGTTTCCCCCTAGACTAGTGTTTTAAGATCAGCCTCCAAATGTTACTAATTGTGGGTAAAATTACATACTAGTGGACCTCAGTCTAAGCAGAGATGGCGGTGCATGGATTTAATAGTGTATATGTGTGCTTGGCCTCGTCACAAATTCTTCATCTGCAGGGTTTGTCTAGTAATGGTGCATCCTTTGAAATAAACGTGGAGCAGGAGAGTGGCAGGTCAGCGTTTCCCCGTCTCCGTGACCTGTGACTTCACTTGACTGGTAGCTTGTACCTGGGTCAAGGGCACACAGTATTTTCATGGTGAGGGTGGTATAAAGCCAGTATTCTTTCTCTCAGAAAGTATTCTTTCTAGTTTGTGGGGACCATTTCATCTGAAGAAGATATGCAAACATTTTATTTTCCAGGTGTTCTTGGTTAAATTTTACCAGTGGGTTGTCACTCTTCTGTTTCTTTCCCCCTGGTTTTTGCTGCCACCATGTGCTTCTCTCTCTCAGAAGAGCTCTTATGTAAGAGTAAAATTGCATGAGTGGTTATCGTATTGCTTCTAGCTGATCGTGGTCACTGTGCTGGCCACTTCCATGTAAGTGTAACAGAAGCCAGTCATTTTAGAAGAGGGAACCTTGATTGAGAAAATGCCCCCACCAAGTTGGCATGTAGGGAGGCCTGTGGTTCATTTTCTTGATTGATATGGGAGGATCTAGCTCACCGTTGGTGATGCATCCCTGGGTTGGTGATCATGGACGTTCTATGAATGCAGGAAGAGCAAGCCATAGGAAGCAAGCTAGTAAGCAGCACCCTCTATGGCTTCCACTTCAGTTCCTGCTGCCAGATGCTTTGGCTTCTTTTGAAAATGTCCTGTGATTTAGAAATTTAAACAAAATGCCCCACCACCACCTCACACTGCTTCTAGTCACACTATTTCATCACAGCACGAGACAGCTAACTAGTTACTTGGGTTAGTTGCCTTTCTCATTGCTATGGTCAAACACCCAACAGAAGCAATCCTAAGTGAGAAAGGGTTTATTCTGGTTTGTACAGTTTGAGGATGTGTAGTTCATTATGGAGGGGAAGGCAGAGCAGCAGGGATATCGGAGACAGCAGGTCACATGGCTTCCACAGTCAGGAAGCGAAGGGAAATGAATGCAGGTGCCCAGCTCATTCTTTTATTAGTCCAGGAACCACCCATGGGATGGGATGGTTCTGCCTACGTCCAGCTTGGGTCTTCTCTCCAAGTCAAGCCCTCCTGAAGCATCCTCATAGACACACCCACAAGTGTGTTTCCAGGGTGATCCAAAGTCCAGTAGAGTTGGCACTGAAGACCACTATCATAGTGGCAAATGCAGTCAGTGTCAGCTTCAGGAGTGCGTGAGGCTCAGTGGGCAGAGATACCATGTCTTTGGGTCTCTTCATCACAAAACTTATTTTAAAGGCCGAGTTAATCCCTTTCTGTCTTCATTTGGATTTTTTCCCCACATTTTGACTTTTTCATTCCATAGTGTGGCCCTGAGTTATGTTTCTGGGATCCAAAGATGAAGGTTACATCCAGGATTGTCGAAGTTGGGTGTTCCTCCAGCTGTGGGTACCCCACCTCAGGCTCTGAGTCATCTGTTTTGTACATTTTATACAGAAGGATTTGCTGACAGCTCTGGCGCTGCCCATGGTACTGAGCTCAGGCGTAGGTCTGGGGGATTAAAGAAATCCTCAGACTCGGGTCATCTGTTGTGAGAGAATGCCAAAACTTTTACTGGGTAGGTTCAATATATATACACCAAGCCAGGGAAGGAAAAATACAAACTCAGGAAAAAATGGGAACTCAACTGGGGGGCAATAGGATGTCAAGTGTAAATTCCCTTCCTGGGGCACCATGCCTTAGTCAGGATATTTTGACCCTAGAAGAACCGCAGAATGTTACTTAGTAGACAGCAGCATGCGGAAAGGCTCAGCCAGGGCATAGCAGCCCTTCGGGGTCCTACAGTTTGCCTCATTTGAGAGCTTTGTAGCCTAGAGTTGTGGATGATGAGAGCAGAGGCTGTACTCTCCCCATCTTCCCACGCCCCTGGTTCACTCACCATGCATATATGCACACATGTATGTTTTCCTTTGTGTGTGTGTGTATGTGTGTGTATAAACATACCCATATTTGGTAACTGAGACCCACTTATAAAAAGTGTTGGTTGTTTTCAGAAGGCTCACAATGACCCTTTCCTGTGCTTTTCAGGTGGACACTCTTTCCCTGGAAGATCTACATGCATTTATCGCTCAGGCCTTGTGTCTCCAAGGAAAATCAACCTCCCAGCTTATGCACTTACAGGTATAGCCACAGTCGGTCATTCCAGCCATGGATGTAACCATGCTGTGATCACATGGTCATGATTCTTTCCAGCCTTTCTGCTGTTATAGTTGGTACTTCATAGGACATGCAAGGCAGGCATGTTTGGTGAGAGTGTATCCACGAAGGACTGTCATCCTCTGTCAGTAACTCCAAGATGTCTGTCCTTTCCAACGCCGACAGCTGCTATACCCTGCTTCTCAGGAGCCCAGGTTGTTCCAGCTCCTGGCCTGGTCATCTCACAGTTTAAGAAGCCTTTGTCAGCTTCATTGGTGTCAAAAAGTGCCTTTTCTGGTCCAGGCTCACCCTCACATCCACTGGTACACAGCAGGGTGAAGCCAGTCCGCCCTTCCTGTATCCTCACCCATCATGCAATGCTTCACATCTGCTTTGTGGTTCTGCTGAGGAAAGTGGAGCCCCAGAGGCCACACATACAGCAGAGCGACTGTAGGTCTGCCACTTAAAGCTGCTTATGTTAAGCATACAGTAGTTCAGAATTGCTTTAAAACTATGTTTATGTATGCATTTTTTTTTAAAAAAAATCTAGAATTGTGCTACATGTATAAAGATCTATGTACATATTTTTATACTAACTTTCTCTCTGTAGCCATAGGTTCTCCAACTAACCATAGATTTAAAAAAAAACTGCATGTGTACAGGACGTGTGCAGACTTTTTCCTTGTCGTTATTCTCCAGGTAGCTTAGCATAACAATTATGTAGATAATATTTATATTACACTGGACATAACTAATCTAGAACATGTATGCAGGGCATGTGCAGATACTGTCTGGGGATTCTAGCAAGGAACATGCTTGGGTAAGTTGTTCTCTAAGATTGAGTGTAGCTTCTGGAGGGATGCACGTGGCATGGTAAGGGAGGACGGGGACACCCACCTAGCCAGCCAGCTCACCTGAATCATCTCTTGGTAATCAGGTGGTGACAGATATGGCTAGATCGTCCTCACATCCATGGTCATTTTGTACAAGCTCCCTCCCTGCTCGAAGCAGATTAGCAATTCACCACTACACATATAAAAAAGAATGTTCTTCAGTATCTACAAAGGATTTATTACAAGACACCCAAAATCCATAGAAGCAAGGAGTTCCTTGTACATTTTATTTGACCGAGCTACCCTTTCTGCTACCTGGCTTTTGATTTCATGTCTGCTGGTGAGACTTACCTTGGAGGCTTTTGTTTGATATCCTAAATTTTTCATTTCTGGTTTGATTTCAACTTGATTCTTCTTTTGTGATTCTATTTCTTGTCTTGAAATGCTTTGATTATTTTGTTCAACTGTGTGTTTCTGTTTCCAGTCTTCATTCAGGCATTTATTTAGATCATCTTTATGGACCTTATATTCATAATTGCTGTTTTTGAAGTCCTTGTCTTGTGCTTTAGCTAAATGCTTTCTTGGAGCCTGTTGCAATAGGATTTCTGCCTTCTGTCAGAGGCATGCTGTGTTTGCTGCTCGTGTTTGTGTCTTGTTGAGACCCAGGCATTCAGAGTTATGACGTTTGAACAGTTTCTTGCTGTAGGCATCTCGTCCAGTCTTCATGGCATGGATGTTCCATGTCCCATGTTCCATGTTCTCTGACAGAGAGTGTTTGTAGAGTTCGGGGGCATCACAGAGGAATGGGGATGGCCTAGAAGGAAAGACTGGACAGGGCATGCACCTGAGGAGGAGTCTTCAGGGGTGAGAGGAAGGCTCCTGCTGGCAGACTTCAGCAGAACTGAAGGTGCTCTGGAGAGGCAGGAATGGAGAACAGGTAGAATAATCAAGGTTGCCTCCTGGGTCCCAGATTAGTGCAGGCACTGGGGGTCCCTAGTAGAAAGTGGTACCATGGATCTGTGTCAGAAAGGAGAGGAGATGGGCTAGAAGAAAGACTGAAAGGGAGGGGCATTGAGAGAAGTCTAAGTGGATCCTGGGTCCACACCAAGGAGCAAAGTTCATACCTTGATATTCTGCATCCATGGGGTCCTTCTATTGCAAGACTCCCACTGGACTTTGATTTTCTATTGCGTTTCATTCCGTCTCTGTTCTAGTTTAGGTTTTCTTCAGTATTTATCTCTTATTTTCCTTTCACGCTGTGGATTGGCGTCTTACTCCTTTCTGTTGCCTTTTTGTGTTCTCACAGAAAACACCGGAGTGCCCCTCACAATGTGTACCATATTTATAATCATTCTCTTCAATCATACATCCAGAATTTCATCTAAATAACAGTAGTTATGAGTCATTAGTATGCAGTTAGTGATTTCTGGAGATGAGTTGCCTTGGTTTTTCATATTACTTGTGGGTTTTTTTTGCACTTGGATTTGCCCATCTGCAGTTAGACTACAGGGTAAAGATGTGTTGGTTGTGTTCTTTTGGTTCATCTTGCCTCTCTTCTCTAAGTGGTCACATTTGCAGTATTTGGAAGAGACAAGGTTGTAGTACAGTTATGTTTCCATCTCTTAGACTGCTGTTCCAGGTACCAGGCTCTATCTACACTCTGCTCCCGTGGGTTTGGAACTGTCTGCAGTTCCTGTAGCTAAACCACTCCAGTAATGGAGTTGCAGGTGACTACAGAACACACTTGCTAAGTAGGGATTAGTGTAGAAAGTAAATTGACCCTGGTGGTACTATGAGTGCTGATAATGCTAGAATGAATGCAAAGTGTCAAAGAGGTAAACAGTCACCGTGAGGCTAACAGCAAGCTTAGGCTATTAGGTGGGAGGCAGAGGAGACGGGCATGCACGGACCTGGTAATAGTTAAGGCAAAGGGGCAAATGGGGTGGAGATGTTGGGGTTTGCATTCACTGTAGACGAAAAAGAAGTACAGTATATACTCAGTGGTTGTAAACCAAGTCAGCATCTGGGCTTTCGGAGATGCAATACCAAGTGGAATAAGTATCAGAAAAGAGAAAGAAAGATTTAAAAGAAAAGAAAAAGTTAAGAAGGAAGAGTGTAAGAGTGTGTGAAATGAACAGTAGGGGACAGTGTTGGCCTGTTACAGTGCCTTCCCATGCTATATAAATAAGGAATAGCTGTCATGGGGTTAGGAGACATACAAGAAAATGTGAGCAGAGCCTGTGTGTTGATTTCTTCTCCTTGGCTGCTCTGCTGCTTTGTCTCCTTGGTCCTGGTCTGAGTTGTGTTCTCTTTCGCTTTTAAACGGCCTCATTTCCTCTGCTGTAGGCTTCCAGCTCCCCTTGTGCATGGAGTTTTCTTAACTGTTTTATAGGCTGTAGAGAGCTGAGGTAAGCTCAGTGCAGATGAGGTTCCTGCCGCACACCCCCCCACACATGGGATGGGGAGATGAACCAAAGCATTGTGAGAGTTGTGTTTAGCTCCCTCAGAAGTTTTGTGTTTCCTCGTTCAGGGTGTTGACAGTGTACCTGGTAGCAGCCACCGAGAACCCCTTATGTGACATTTCTACCACCTCTGTTTTGTAGATTCCCTGGTAGGAGTTTTTCAGCCCAGTTTGCTTGCGAGGAATGCTGCTTTGGAAGGAAGGGGTGGCTGTCTGAGTGGCAGCCGCAAATCCATTCATAGTATCCCATGGGTCCCATGGAAGAGAGGCTGGTTGAGGTGTTGATCAAATCAGTTTCAGGACTTGGAAAAGTAACAGATGGAGTGATAAAATATTCATATTCTCTTTAATTCCCAAACTGTAATCAGTGATTGCGTCCAACGTGGCTTCTGTTCTGCCGTCTTATCCAGAAGTCCTCTAAAAGGAAAGTCTCGAGGGAATTGCAAAACCAAAACAAAACAGGATGACAGACCCACATACAGAATTCAATTAATGTCCATATATTACCAGTGAGTACATAGAAACTGAGTTAGGAAAGCAATGCCACTCGTAACTGTTCTACTAAATTGAATTGCCTAGGTACAAATTAAACACGTGTATGATCTATAGGTCCAGACTTGCACTCTTGCTAGGTGTGGTGGTGCATGCCTTTAATCCCAGCTTCTGGGACGGAGGCAGGCAGAGGCAGGATCTACATAGCAAGTTCCAGGGCAGCAAGGGCTACATGGAGAGCCCTACCCACCTCCCCCAAAGAATAAAAACAAGTGAAAGAAAGAAAACCTCATGCCTGTGGACAGCTCACTTTACTCATACAGTAAATTAAAGGAAAATAGGGTTGTATTAATGGGCTTTGAGAATAGTTCATTAAATTCAGTTCTGCTCATAGTAGACTCTCTGCAGACCATGCAAAGAAGTTTTACATTAGTGTAGAGCCCCATCAGAGCCTACAAAGCATTCCCTAGTGGCTCTGGCTAAGGAGTGAGCTTCTCAGAGTCAGATCTGTATAAACAGTTTGTGCAGCTGAAGCTTACCCCTTAAGGTTAAAGGTTGACTCTGCAGTGATCCAGGTTCATGGTAAGCAACCTATTTATTTAGCAAGACAGGGTCTCACACTGTATCCCCTACTGGCCTAGAATTCACTGTGGAGGCTAGGGAAGTCATAAACTTGTGACAGTCGGCATGCCTTGGCCTCTTCCATTCTGGAACTACAGCCATGTGCCACTGTGCTTTTTATAGTTTTTAAAATAATTGTCAAATTCATTTAAGTGGGGCCTTGTGTATAAAATGGTTAAAACACCTTCTCTAACCTTTTTTCAGTTTTATTAACTCTTATATATGTAATGGTGTTTAAGGCAGCATTGGTCAGTGTGAGCAAAACAGACTCCCAGAGGTGACTGGCTCACTTGTGCTCCCCTTTCAGTGGGGTTTCTTAGACATTTGCAGTGTTGATGCCTGCAGCACAGTCAGCATCACAGATCCACAGGGAATACATGGGGCTTTCTGTGGGATGTGGAACCTTTTATAGCATAAACAGCGGCTTCTCTCCATCAAGAACAACAACAAAAAAAGTTGAATGTACATGTGGATTTAACAACAACAAAAAGAAGTATTTTATATTAGCAAGAGATTCTTTTGTTGAGATTTTTATTTATCTATTTTAATTTTATGTGTATGAGTCTTTTGTCTGCATGTACATAGTGCACCATGTGCATACTCTACCTGCAAAAGCCAGAAGAGGGCGTTAGATCCTCTGTAGCTGAGGTTATAGACAGTTGACATGTGTGTGCTGGGAATCAAACCCAGATCCTCTGGAAGAGCAGCCACTTAATCACTGAATCCATCTCTCCAGCGCTAAGACAAGACATTCTTAATTTGTAAAAACCCAGGCACCTTTTGAGATGATACCATGTGCCATTTTATTCTTAATGATATTCAGTTGAAGTGAGATTAAGTATGATTTTTCAGAAACACGGGGAGCTTCTCTCCCTGTACTTTTCAGGAGAATAAACCCAACAGTAAATGATCTTGTAAGTTTTACCTAGTGGTCACATCTTGTGATAGCCCAGATTTTCCTACAGCAGTATCTCAGTTACTCTTCTATTGCTTATACAGTGTGTCCTCAATCATCATGGTGGGGAGCATGGCAGCAGGTGGAGAGCATGGTGGCGGGCGGGCAGGAGTGGCACAAGAGCAGTAGCTAAGAGCTCATATAACCCACAAGGCAGAGGCAGGCAGGCAGGGGTCGGGGACTAGGAATGATGTGGGCTATTGAATCTTCAAAGCCCACCCCCAGTGACACACCTCCTCCTCCAACAAGGCCACACCTCCTAATCCTTTCCAAACAGTTCCACCAACTGAGGATCAAGTATTCAAAGTTATGAGTCCATAGGAGCCAGTCCCATTCAAACCACCACAGCCAGGATGACTATTCTGGATCTGTGTGAGGAGAGAGCTCATGTGAGCACTTGCTGCCCTAGTGGGTGGCTGATGAACAGAGGTGTGTTCCTGGGGGGATGAGAGGGGCTCCTGTCATCCTTCTCTTGTGTAGCTTGCTTGTCAGGCCTCTTTCATTCAGAAGAGCTCAGGAGGCCTAGTATCCTGTTCAGGGCTTGGAAAGCATCTGTTCTGAAGACTTACAGGGCCGAGACTCTTGAGTTATCTTTTTGCTGCTCACATTTAACTTTGGCTTTGAGCTCTCTGTTTTGAGCTTTCTGTATATGTCTGTCTCCACAGCTGGATTACATTAACTCCAGAGCTGTGCAGCTGGGGTCCCTCCTTGTCCGAGGCCTTACCACGTTGGTACTAGTCAACAGCGCATGTGGCTTCCCCTGGACAACAAGTGAGTTTATGCCCTGGAACATATTTGACGGCAAGCTTTTCCATCAGAAGTACCTGCAGTCTGAAAAGGGATATGCCGTGGAGGTTCTTTTGGAACAAAATGTGAGTTCTGGTTCTTGTATATCGGAACGAATACATTTGAAGTCAGACACTGTAGTGTGCCTGGAAAGTCTGCCCATCTCACCTTAGGAAGCTTTAGGAAAGCAGCCATATCCTCCAGTGTCACCCCCGTCACCTCGCACAGCTGTTAGGACCACCGTGCTTATGTTTCTGTAACTGCTCTCCACACATAAGGTTGTCCTGCTCAGCTGCATCAGTTGGTGTTCCCATAGCTAATGGCTTTTGTAGGGAAAGTGAGCTGAGAGAAGGGATTACACGTCTGTAGAGGGGTTCCCCCAGGCAGCTGTAGTTGGGGGAGACTCTCCTGCTACAAAACGCTGCCCCATGTCCTGGGGACCCTGACTGCTGCCTCAGCCTTCTCAGTAGAATTGCTTCATGATTCCTGGAAGATTTCCAAATGAGGCCTCCCGCCAAGCTCATTTGGAATGTTTTCTTACCCACAGGGATGAGAAGGCGGTGTGATTGTGAGAGAACATGCTGATCTGTTAGATAAAACACTCCCAAGTTTTCACACCAAAGGGAAAACATTTGGCAACGTGTCGCCGTCACCATTTCTCACCAAAGTTCCAGGGTGTTGCAGGGTTTCTGAGTGTTTAGAACTTAGAGGAGCAGAACAAGTGGGCAGCAGCCCTTTCTCAGATCTAGACGTGGCTCTGGAAGCAACAGAAGGAGAAGCAGCCCTGGAGCACTGCTGCCTGTTACCCTTGTCTGTGTACCTCAAAATACACAATTCCTCCTTGAGCACCCCATCTTCCCACCAACCCCACTTAAAAGAATTATCTAGGATGAAATTTCACTAGTAATTCAAGAAGTTACCAGAATATCTAATGATCATACCCCTGTCTGCTGCTGCTGTTTGACCCCAGCACCCCCAACTCGGTGTTCTTAGATTGTCAAGAAAGTAGATTTTTAGCCATGACTGTTTAATCTGCACAAGATAGAAGCAGACATTATAGGTATTTGCCGCCATTTCCAGGGGACTCGGGAGGGGAACAGTCATCCAATCCCTCTTCAGATCATGGTAATGGAGAGGTGCACAGCATGCCCCTACACTGGTTGATGTGGGGACAGAGACCAATAGTAGGTGGAATCCCACCCCTGCCACCTCACATCCTGCTCTGTACAATCCAGCTCTTTCACAGAGCATTTTCATCTGATCTGTTTCCAGAGATCGTGGCTCACCAAGTTCCACAACCTGAAGGCAGTGGTCTGCAAGGCCTGCTCCAAGGAGAACCGACGCATTGTAGGCAGAACACATTGGAACTCTCACTACACAGGTAGGCAAGGGCTGGGTGCTTCCCTCTTCCTGTCACTTGATGTGCTGGGGCCCAGGTAGATGTACCTGAAAAGACAATGGTGAAATTATGGCAGATGAACATGACTGGGCTGTCCTCAGTGACTTAAATTCTGGTCCCATAAGAAAAAACATTTCAAAAAGGATTCATCTGTTAATTGAATAAAGAACTCTTTCTCTAATGTCTCCCTAGGAGAATTCCCACAATTCCCCTAGTTAAAGACTACATGGATAGTGTTTATCTGCATGACAAAAGTTAAGGTTTAGTTTTTCTCATAACAAAAAGACATTGGAAAAATTCAATGTTATATACATATATGTTCAGAGTAACAGTGGGAAAGTGGTCATGAATTTTAAAGCAAGTAGGGAGGGGGAAATGGGAGGGACTTGGAGGAAGGGAGAATTGTTACAATTAAATTATCTCAAAAAGAAAGCATTTTAAAAAGGAACCATAAAAGACTTACAGCTCTGTGACCTAAAATGAGACCTGTTGAAAGATGATAAATTTCTGAAGTTCCTTTCAAGGTTCTCACTCAGCTTTCTACACAGCACTTCCCACCAGTGATGTCAGACAGTGGCCAGTCTTTCTTCACTGTTGTCCATGACATATGTTCATGCCTCCGAAGGTCGTATCAAACATCTACTGTACTTGGGGGCTCTGGCAAAATTTCATACTCTCCGTGGGTCCTAGACAACCAAGGAGCCCTGCAGTGAGGGTGTCAGTAATGGGCGTTCTAGTAAACCGATTGTTGGCAGCCACAGTCAGGAGGCCTTGCTCAGTGAGTAAGGTCTGGAGAAACTGGGTGTAGATGTGGATGAATTACAACAGTAGGAAAAGCAAGGAAGGTCGATCGGAGTTGGATATAGATTTCTTAATACTACATTTAAAAAAGTTGATGTTTATATCAATTACAAATTGAGGAACTTTTATAGGTTTTGAAGTGCTGTTATTCAGAAGTATGCTCTCAGGATAGCAGCTGCTCTGACAGTGGAGGAGAATGGGATCAGGAGATGGTCCATGGTGGCCCTGGGTAAAGTGCTGGCCTCCTTGGGGCTTCTCAGGCATCAGTCTGCTGTGCTATGATCTTCTTGGTCACTACTGGGTGAATTTAGTGGTATGGGTGTGTGGGTCCTTATACTTTCTGGCCACAGTGCCTCCAAACAGAAGAGGAGTTTAGTTTCTGAAGGTCATATCATACATGTGTTGCCCTTGGGGGTTCCTGGCCAAATGCCACACTTATCAGACATACCCCAGAGTCTGTGATTGGCACTTATGGCAGAACCTCCTCCTCCTCCTCCTCCTCCTCTGAGCACGTGAAATAAAGATACCTTAAGTGCAAGAAGAAGGGCATAATTAGTGGAAATTAGTGATCCAAGGGAAAGGTCAAAGTGTAAAAGGAGTATGTTCATGCATTTGTGGGAAGCATAGAAGAGCTCACCACATCCCAGGATGTGCTCAAGAGAAAAGCATCCATATCGTTGTGTTACCTAAAGCAACTGTAAGTGGGCCTCCTTGCTGGAGGAACTAGCATTGACAGTTGTTGCCTCTGGGGAGGAGTCGAGTAAGGAACAAGATCCTTAAAGGCACACGGTGAGTTAGTTCTTAGTACTGTCATAGGCTGCCATTTGGCTCCCAGTACAGATTGGCTGCTTCTCTTCTTCAGCCTTTGGAGTCCTCCAGTCCCACTCTGCTTGTGAGCACACTGAACGTTCCCTGGCTTGCTGTCACTTACTACACCATTAAGTGTGAAACAGAGTGAGTGGCCTCATTCTGATGTGTTGACCGTGTTCCCACAGGAAGGCAAGGGAGACAGAGCCACAGCTCCTACAGGACAGGCTCCACACATGGTCATTCTGGGCAGTCGTGGAGAGACCAGGGTTCAGGTAAGAGGCTACCGCATCAGCCATCACCTGCCCATAGGGACAGCATCCCTCACACTGTGTGCTGAAGACCCTTTCCTGTGTTTCAAAACAAATACAGTTAGAAAAAAAATCAATATGTTGGCATGCCTAATTCTTTGTTTAAAGGGATAGATACAAATAATAATGATCTCTCTCCGTGATGATGTGTCTCTCCTTGCTGCTTTATTTTCTGCCAAGTTGGTCGTCTCTTGAAAACTCATTTTTTTACAATTTATTCAAAGGTTTTTCGAAAGGTTGCTGATAGAGGGATCAAATAGTAATGTTCCGTTATCTTGCATGTCATGGATTACATTTATAATGTTGGAAATACAGCTTCTTATATGTCATACAGATGTATTGAAAATCATATTATACTTAGTTTAATATGTAGTTATTTATATTTAAATATATATAGAACCTCTCCTCAGCATTTAAATTCAAGTTCCTTATAGATTTCAGAGCTGACTTGGTAGATGACTGAAATTACCTAAGATTTATGGTTTTGTCCTTATATAGAAATTTAAATGTGATTTTTACTTTTGAAAACTGTGTGCAGCTTTACATGTTGTTTAGATTGCTGAGAATGGACCTTATCAGGCTGTTGACAGCACTTGTGTACAGTGCCCAGGCTGTAGACAGCAGGACGAGTGTACAGTGCCCAGGCTGTAGACAGCAGGACGAGTGTACAGTGCCGAGGCTGTAGACAGCAGGATGAGTGTACAGTCCCTGGGCTGTAGACAGCATGTGATTATGGATACTGAGCAAATATTGAAGCTGCTGTGTAGTTTAGAATAATTCAGTTCCTTGTGGGCACCTTGAAAGGCTCCTCCCTGGGGAGGGGGTCGGGGGAGACTCTGTTATTGGAGACTTGGATTAGCTTTTCAATTTCCTTGAACTAGCTAGACTAACAGAAAGTACTCTACCATATCCTGCCACTGACTGACTTCTGGGGCCTGTGGTGGCCCAGCTGAAGTTCCCCTGAACTCTCCAGGACAGACTGTTCCTGGGGCTCCCTGTCACAGTAGCCACCTGGCCCACAACTCTCAGCTGACCCAGACAGATGTTTGTCCAGAAAAATGGCAAGGGGGAAAGGATACCTATCTTTCTAAGTACTGGGTACTAGGTTAATATCCATTAGGGCTAAAGGCCACCAAAAGTAATGAAAAACTATAGATCTTCCTTGTAAAGCTGACCATGACACTGGTCATGACTTTAGCCACTTGAGTTAGGTAGGATCTAAGCCCAGGCCTGGCCATCTGCATGTCACTCCCTGGCAATGTTTGGGCAGCCTGAATTCTGATACAAGGCATCAGGCTGAAAGCCAGAGTAATGCCCTTGCTATGCTGGGGAAAGCTGGTGGCCAGTCTTTGAGGCAGCCAGCCTCTAATGATGATTCTCCCCTGCAGAAGTCACTATTTCCTCAGCCTGTCTTTTTTTGCCTTTCCCTGCCAGCAGCATTCCAGCTTGCCTAGTATGCTGTGGAAGAGGATGCTTTCCTTTTGTCCTCTGGCTTGACATTGTCTTATTCCCATGTCCAGAACCTCAGAGCGAGGCCAGATGACAACTGTATACTTGTAAGCAATAAGAGGCTGTAACTCTCTAGGGAGGCTAGCACTCTCACCAGCTACAGGGGAATGTCACCAGTGTTCTCAGATCTCCACACTCAGACTGTGTCTGATGACTGTCTCTGGTCACTGTCCTGTCTCCTTGTTCTCTGTCAGGCAGCTGCCGGCATCAGTAAGCCTGTGTATGTGTAGATCCACGGTTGGTGACTGAGAAAGGTGCTATGTGCACAAGTGCCGTAGAGCTGGGCAATGCCAGTCTTCCCTCGGTAGCCTGAGTCATAGTCACCTCACCTGCAGCTCTTAGGACAGTGACCACCATCTCATAACCCACACCAGCCCTTCAAAGAGCTGTCTGTACCCTCAGAGTCCCAGACTGAATACCCAGGAAAACAGTCACAAGAATTTGATTATTCTCACTGTTAGTACCGAAGCTATAAGGATATATACTTCAGATACACTAGGGGAAATCAGTCCTCCTTTGGGTTGTTGGTCATAAGGGTATTGATTTCTTCACATTCTCTAGAGAGCATTGCATGACCTCATAGATAAAAATAATTCAATTGCTCCCTAGAAGAGATGCTTTCTGAGTCCTGGGTCTCTGCCAGAGGTATGTCTACCCTGGATCCCACATCCCTCAGCATTTCCAATGCCCCGGAAATGTCATGGCATCTGTCTGTCCCACTCCTGTCTTCATGGCACCATGATGCATGGTCCCCATGTAGTGGTGTCCTTGTGGCCAGTGATATGAGGCCAGCAGCCTCAGCCACGTGTAGAGTGGACACAGGTCTTAGGACAGTAAGACGGAGGTGACAATGGTGGTAACCATCTGCTGGGCCTGTCCCTGAGGAGGGAACCATGAATCAGGAGAAGTCAGAATTCTAAGACGAGAACCCTCGTGGGTGAGCTGGAAGGCTGGTCCTCAGTTGTCCCCAGAACAGCTAGTTCCTCAGAGGTAATCCTGTCCAAGCTGTAGGTGTCTTCAAGGGCACTGCTCCACTCTTGTTTGTAAAAACAGCTACTACCAAGGGGGATTGGAAGCATAGTGAAGAACCCAGGACAGCAGCCAGGACTTTTCTGGTTCTTTGAGTACATGCCACACATCTCCTGATTTCCTAATTTTCAACCCAGCTGGTCTGCAGCTCTCCCACACACATCAGTGGTCTCTGCCATGGCCTGGCCTGGCCTAGGAAGATACACTCTTCTTCTGGACCTTTTGTACCCTCAGGGCTTGGTCCTCCCTGAGCCGTGGACTCTTACATCCTCAGCATCTTACGTGAGCCTACTTCCTGGCCCTTCATCTGCGTCCTAGGCCACAGTCCTGTAGCCCAGCACTGACATGCTTTTTTGGAACTCTAGCATTCAGCAGCTTAATGAACTCTGTGTGCACTCTGCATTGGTTCACTTTGCATGCATGTTGGATGCATGTGTGCTGGATGATTCTTCAATTCCATAGGACAATAAAAACAAAGGTCTTACTCCTCGACTCAGTGAGTGATGTCACACTTCCCATCATATGCCCCAGTATTATAGTTCTAAATCCAGTGGTCACATCTGTAACCACCAAGTTTTTGATATCTCACTTCTGACATACATGTCTTAAAACCTGTGTTTACACATATAAAGCAAAGGCCAGATAATCAAAATTAATAAGCAGTTCTTGTGATCCAGAAAAGAACAGTCTGAGGTCATCATCACGGTTACAGATGTGCAAGCCCTGGGGGAAGGCACATGGGCCCTGGACAGTTAATCCTGTCCAGTGATTGAATGAACAGTAGCACAAATCTCTTTGCACAACTGACTGATTCACAGGCTGGAAATTTCCAGGAGCTGGCTGCTATCCTCCACCTACATGGCCACACTAAGCATGGCACATTGGGAGCCTTTAGTGGCATGTGTATTATCTAGCTTCAGAACCAGAGAAACCATTTATCCTTGTTGATCTGGTCACTTGGAAACAGAAACATGGTACTGGCCACATTAGTTAAAGCCTAAAAACTGCATAGACATTGGGCTCTGGTTCCATTGAGACTAGGAACTTTCAAGGTCATCTCCACATTATTGGGATGGGTTATAACAGAAACACAGTCTTGATTATGAAGATTGGGGTGAGACAGAAAGGCCCGCTTGAGTGGCCTCGTGCTGGGTTGATGTCAGGCTTAACGGCTAGAGGTGAGTCTAGAAGCAGTTAGGGGCAGTATGTGTGCAAGGACAGCGCTTCATTGGCACCTTGCCTGTGTGGAAGAAAGTCCACAGGCTGCCTGCTGCTTCTGCTGTGTTACACGCTTTGCTTATGTGCTCTTTTGTACAGTTGGTCCTTAATTGGAGCTTTTTGTTGTTGCTGTTTTAAAGATGAAGCAATCTACTTTTTCGGTGAAATGACTGGGCTTGTGTTTTGGGCCAGCACATTTTCCTAATGGGGTTTTCCTGTCTTTAATACTTTTTTTATTTCTACAACATATAAAGTAGAAAGGTGTTACTATCTCAAGATTAGTAAAAATAGACAAAACTTTATGTTAGAAAAGGCTCAAAATGCTTATGTTCAAAGTGGCAGTGTTCACTTTGGGCCTAGTACACACATTCTCAGCATGCAGTAATAGCATAACTATGTAAATGTGAGCTATCAGAGTCACTTTAGGGACTGCGGCCTGGCAGATGGGGTGGGGGTGCACCCCACAGGTAGTCAACATCAAAGTCTAGGGCCAGCTCAGTCACCCTGTGAACAAATGGGTGCCAGAGTTGGAGCTTTGACCTGTCCCTAGCTATTATTCAGCCCAGCTGGTGAGGAAAAACGTGTTACATTCCGTTAAGAGCTGTAAACTTCGATGAGATTCTTCACTCTGTCTCTTATGGTGACTGAGTGGGCCCTACACACTAGGAAACCACAGGGGTGGGAGCTGTGATGGCAGAGGTGGTGAAGGTTGTATTCATCTGGACACCTGTTTGAGTTGTCACCCTCACACTTTAGGGGTCATTAGGCAGTGCATGTTAAAGTCATCACTTCCATGTACCAAAGAAAGCCAAGAGCAAGACTTACAGAAAAGCCTGGTGTTGTTGAGACAGGATATCACTATGTGGCATTATCCTGGCTCGAACTCGGAGAGATCCACCTGCCTTTGAGTCCTGAGTACCACCATGCCCAGCCAAAAAGTGTTGTTTTTAAGATGTGGGAACTCTCAGTTTCCTTCAAGGCTAGTTCTGCTCCAAGCCCCTTACCAACACACTCCGTGACTGTCAGAGGCAGGAAGTGGCCAGCTACACCGTGGGGTTGGGGCACTTGTGTGCTCACACGTGGCTTTTTCTGTGCTTGGCAGGAAGTCCTCTGAGAGCCATCTGCATATGAATTTCCATTTCCAAAGTCATTAGCAGTAATAAACATCTAGATGTCCTGCAGATGGTCAGAACTGGCACCAAGAGAAACAATTTTGACAGTTTCCTTCCACTAATAGCACTGCCTCCTAATTAATTGCTTCCACTTTAATGGAATAATTGTAGAGCAAAATTTAATGACAGGTGGTCACAACTGAAAAATGTTCTGTCTTCCAGTACAGCTCAGCAGTCCGTCTTTATGCATGCTTAGAACCGTGCCGCTTCTTTGAGTTGGTGTTTGGAGACATTTCTTCTTACTCTGGTGTTCGTCTCTGTTTGGTACAGGAGGCAGACAGCATGAGCATGACCACTGGAGAAGATACTAGGTGTCGTACAGGTAAAGTCCTCCCCAGCCTCTCAATGCACCAGTAGATGCTCTGTCTTTATAGCTGAGGGCCAAGTGGTTAATATGTCACATGGGCCAGCTTCCTGACGGGGGTTCACCAGCTTAATCCAAAATATGTTTGCTTCTTCCAGAAGAGTGTGGAAAAAGGGTCAGTGCCCGGACTCCGCCCTCCTTCCAAGGAGTGTTCAGAGTGACATCACCCAGTCTCATCAGCAAGGACAGCAACTGGGACTACACTTAAAGGAAGGAAAAATTTCTTTTCAGAGGTTTCTAACGGTAGAAAGATCCTATTGGTTTGTTTCAGAGGTTGATCCTGACTCCCATGACCTAGAAACACTTGACTCTAACATCAAGAAGGCTCTCCTGACCTTAGCAGGAGTCTAATTCCCAACATTTTCTTGCTATTAAATTGTGAAAATGTTGCTCAAATCATTAGTCTTTGAAATCATGATGTCTTCGTGTTTTTCTGTCATTGTGGAAAGGCACCATGACCAAAGCGACTTACAAAAGAAAGCATTTAATGTGGGTCTTAGGGTTCCAGAGGGTGGTAGAGCCCATGACCATCATGTTGGGGTACATGACGACACCAGGCGAGGACTAGCCAACAGAAAATGGCTCAGGGTTTTGAAACTTCAAAGCCCACCTGCCAGCAACACCTCCATCAGCAAAGCCACGCCTCTTCCAGTAAGGCCACTCCTCCTAATCCTTTCTATCAACTGGAGACCAAACATGCTAGCTTATGGGGCCATTCTCATTCAAACCACTACACATGATATCTAATAGCTATACAGTCTGTCAAAAATTACCTTTTCATTAGAAAATCTAACAGAAGTGTTTATCTGTTTTCTTTCTTGATCCACAAAGTATTTGGATAGGAAAAAAAAAAACAATAAATTCTTGCTTTCTTGTGGGAGAGTTGGTTCTGCTTGGAGGAAAGATGGCTCAGTGGTTAAGAACAGCGGCTGCTCTTCCAGAGACTCAAGGTATGATTCCCATCACCCACACGGTGGCTCACAGCTGTCTGTAACTCCAGTTCCGGGGGATCTCCTGTGAGCACCAAACACAAGTGATGCCCAGACATGCATACAGGCAAAACACCCATAAAGATGAAATATTTAATAATTAAAAAAAAAAGATTTTTAAAGAAGCATAGTGGGTTAAGCTTAAAGTAAGATCCTCTTTAAACTTTGAGGTTCTTATCTATCTCCACTGGGGATACAAGAGTAGCTATGCCTGTCCAGGACCCTTATGGCCCTGCTATATCTCTGGGGACACTTAGTTCCCTAGGGAGATGTAAGCACTCTGGTCATTGGAAGATGTATCCTTTCAGTGCTCCTGTCTTTAAGATTTTAGTAAGCTTCTAAAACTGTTCCTTTTCATCTTTATGCTGACAGTTTTCCCGACCACTGGCTCAACCATGCTGTGCGGTTTCACCTTGAGTTTCTCTTGGGTTTCGCCTTGAGATTCTTGTGTTTACCAGAAAGGTATAGATATATCTCCCACAATTGAACATGGTTGTATTTGTTCAGCTTCTTTCTGCTCCTGAAGGACTTGAGCATAGTGTGTCTGCAGATCATGTAGCTGCCATGACGTTGCTGCCTAGATTTGGAACTGGCTTCTCTGGTCCCTCCCGCGAATACTGTCTTCTCCCTTTCTGCTACTTTCAAACACTGCTGCGTTTAGATGTCCTGTTTCTCTGCTGTTTACTTGTGTAACTTTGAATTAAGATTCTGGTCTCTTAGATTGAATATTTCTATGAAGTTGTTTTCCGTCAAAGAAGCTGCAACCTGACTTGTCAATAAAATGCGTATGTCAGTCACAAGTTTAAATAAGCCACTGTGTTGATGGAATATTTATCACATTTAGAGCTTTTCCAGTGACAGCATTGCTTACATTGCTTTCCAGTCAAGTCTTGCGATAGAATTTCCACATATCAATTCAAAATAAAAATGCATTTTTAAACTCCTACTTCACTTTTTTTTTTTTTAAGACAAGGCCCTATTCTGTTGCCCAGCACCTCTCTGCATCCTATCTGCCTTTTGTGTCAAGCCTTCTGTTACCTTTTTCGGTAGGCAGACCATATCTTTCTTTTTCTTTATAGAAAAATGATGTTGAGTCCAGAATCCTATAGTCAGTGTACCTAGAGTAGGGAAAAAATCAACACGTTTTCAGGAATCAAAAATTTGACCCATATATCCTTTCTAAGAGGAAATGAGTGTGCTAAGGTTGAAGGAAAGCCCATTCCATGGAATGCAGAGACCGTATGACTCAGCGTTGGACAAAGAAGTCAGTGAAACGTGCAGGTACCACGAAGCAGTTCCGAAATAAACCAGCAAAGCAATAAACTGTTACAAGGACAGTGACGGGTGCCTCTGGGTGAGATGAAAATAAAGACACATTTCCTTTTCTTGCTTAGAAAACAATACTTTTTATTATCTGTCAATATTTTTAGAAATATAAATGTAATATGAACTAGAAAAAGGGTGAAAAGAAAAGCCACTTCTATTCTGGAATTAATTTCAAAGCACAAGTAAAATTCGAGATGAATAGTTTAACACATTCATTCCAGAAACAGACAAGCCAAGTACAACAAAACACTGACGTCCTGTTGAACGAGTTAATAAGTAAGCTTGTTCTGATAGAAACAGAGCAGTAAATGCCTCTTAGTTTATATTCTTTCTGGACACATGTGGATAGTTCATAGGACCCACCTATGAATTAGGCCCCAAAGTAAACCTCAGACAAAATAATAAAAAGCTAATTTACTAAAATCACATTTCCTGCCTATAAGAACATAACATAAACAGCAACCAAAGGATAAAAGCAAGTCTTTGCCCATAGCAGTTAACTCGCCATTCTAAAATATTATCAAGGAAAGCACTTGCAAATTTATTTTAGACTAATAAAGGTATTGCATTTTAAAACTCATTGCAGGGCTCAGCAGTTAAAAGCACTGTCTGCTTTTCCAGAGGACCTGGGTTCAATTCCCAGCACACGCGCACACACACACACACACACACACACACACACACACACACGGCAGTTCACAACTCTCTGTAACTCCAGTTCCAGGGGATCTGACAAACACACACACAGACAGACATACAGCCAAAACAACTCACTGGAGAGCAGTGATACCACAGAAGATAAGTCAGGTCACTCTGGACATCCTTAACTCTAGTTGAATAACAATCATACTTGCAAAAATGTTGAAGCTGACTGCCAAGGCAAGCTTGACTGTGGTTAATTTCTACTTACGTCAGTTACTCAGCCAGTGACAGCCCTGTGTACATTTCTGGTTCAGACTGCCAGGGCCAAACAAACAGAACACCTTGCCCTCCAGATAGTGGGGTGCTGTGCGGCAGCTGCTGTTTTGGTTTCCTGAGAAGCAAGCACAGAGGTTGGCCATCATGTGTCAGCTTGAGTAACTTTCACAAGGTTTAAAAAAACCTGTAGATAAAAATTAACTAGGAGCTGGAAAGATGTCTGAATAGTTAAGAGCACTGGCTACTCGCTGTCCCAGAGACCCAGGTTTGTTCCTAGCACCCACAGAGTAGCCAACAAGGACTTCTCAAAGCACATATGTGGCACACAGACATACACACAGGCAGAATACACATGCATATAAAATAAACAATTTTGGCTGGAGAGATGGCTCAGAGGTTAAGAATTGTTCTTCCAGAGGTCCTGAGTTCAATTCCCAGCAACCACATGGTGGCTCACAACCATTGGCAATGGGATCTGATGCCCTCTTCTGGTGTGTCTGAAGACAGCTACAGTATACTCAGATAAATAATAAGTAAATTTTTAAAAAATAAATAAGTTTTTGCCATTCAGGGAACCAATATTCTAAGGATCATAACATTCAAAAGCAACCTAGCGTAAGGGCAAATCTAGAAGTCAATCACACATGGTCAGGCAAAGGACTCTTGTAGAAAGGGTCTTTTCTACAAGACTCCAGGCTTTTCATTCCAGTTGACTTCGCAGCACCAAGATACCTTTTAGTCATCAAAAATCAAACCCCAAGAATCAAGACTGATCTTAGAGGTGTAATTCCGTAAATTTCAACATTTTTAATTTCCATCAACAAAGTCACATGTACAAAGAATCAGGAAAATGTAGTATATTCAAACAATAGATAAACAAAATCCCAGAAAAAATCAACATATCAGAATCATTGGACAATACTTCCTTAAGCATGCTTAAAACTCCAAAAGAAGGCATGAATAATATCTATTAAGAAATGTATGGGCTGGGTGGTGGTGGCGCACGCCTTTAATCCCAGCACTTGGGAGGCAGAGACAGAGGCAGGCGGATTTCTGAGTTCGAGGCCAGCCTGGTCTACAGAGTGAGTTCAGGACAGCCAGGACTATACAGAGAAACCCTGTCTCAAAAAAACAAAAACAAAAAAAACAAACAAACAAAAAAGAAATGTATGAATAAAGCAGAGACCATATATATGTGTGTGTGTGTGTGTGTGTGTGTGTGTGTGTGTGTGTGTGTGTGT